AAAAGTGTCTGACACACAGTAGGGCCAAGTAAATATTGAATGCACGATTTATTTGTGTGTGTGTGTGTGTGTGTGTGTGTGTTTTGGATTAGTTGGTTTTTTGTGGTGCTGAGGATCTAACCTAGGGCCCTACAGCATGCTAGGCAAATGCACTTTCACTGAACTACATCCCAAGCCCTGAATAAATGCATTTTATTGTGTGTATTTGTTTCCCATAGTCTTAGTAAAGGTGGAGTCTTTACCAATCAAAGTTCTGAGAACAGAGTAGTGATGGCTTGACTGTCAACCACCACTTCAGAAATATACATGTGTATATGGTATTTACATACGTATTCACTTAAATTTATATCCTGGAATGGTATTCTCAATGATGGGTGGAAATTAGAACCAGCTGGAAATTTTTTTCTTAATACCCATACTTGGGTTTCTAGTGTAAAGATTTGGATTTCATTTACCTGGAGTGAGACCAGACCAGGGCATGAGCATATTTTTAAAAGCTTTATAGCTAACTGTGAGATGCACCCAGCCTTTGAACCACTATCCTAACAAATGTCAGTTTACATCTCAAGCCCTAACTGAAAGCTCACTTGTTGATGTTCATTTTTGTTTGAAAGATGCTAATGAGTTGCTCCCACTCCAGAGGAGGTAACTAACCCATAAGAATTTTATCTTTACCTCTGATTAGTACTAGAGGATTATTAGTTAAGTACCATTAGAAATAATGCAAATTATTTCTCATTTAAGGGAGAAATCAAGATAGTGGTTTGGCTAGGAAAGAACAATAGAATCCTGTTGGGTCTCAGGTAAGTCTTATCTAGCTCTAGTATGTGTGAGGCATTTTTTGATGGCTATAGAGTCTTAGACATGTAGTGAGTGAGTGCTAGGGGTTTGTCAGATCTTCTGTTAGGCCACATACAAAAGTTAGCTGAAATCAGTTGCTAACGTGTAGTCTCATCTGCTTCTGGTAAACCTTTTATGCTGGACATTATTTAATGGACAGAGGACTGGGCTTCCTTGCCTTTCCACAAGAGTCCATATGTCTGTCTGTGCCTGTTGGTTGACATGAGTTTATACCTATGTTTGTGTTGAGAATTTGTACTGAGACCCATTTACTTTAATAAGGGCATCTGCTGGCAGATCTAGGAGCGAGACCTTTACTTACCTCTCGTGTCAGGAGCCCTCTGATGCTGCAAAAAGAAACTTTCCAATGTGAACAGCCCAGTTGGCTCAGGGCAGCTTGTGTGCACTTYGGTCCAGAGTCCTGGGTTCAAACATTTCAATATTTCAATTTTGATTCTTCTTTGAGAGGAAGGTAGAGGCCACCATTTTGTTCAAATGTCCCTAATACTTTACAGCTTTTCAAATGCAGGTGATTCCATTGCTGGTGGGCAGGTGAAGGGAAACAACCTTAAACCTTGTTTGCTTCCCTTTTGTGACCTCCCTTTGGCATTTTCGAATGTGTAACCGAGCCATTCTTGGCTGTAAGGATGCTTGGATTCCTGGGCAGGCTAAGTCAGCCACTTCTCTGTGCCAAGGAAGGTGAGCATCAGCTGAGACTGCTGATGGCAGAATGAGCAATTCTAAGTACAACAGTGGAACAAGACGTCTTCCAAGTCGGAATCTGGCTGCTGTCCTGGGGGCTCTTCGTTTTAGTGTTGAGATGGGTATTCTAAGGATGAGGGGTGTTAATAACAATAAAATTTTATGTGCTGTAAAATGCCTTTGGTAGTAGCAAATAAAAGTGACCATTGTGAAAAACAGTCTACATGTTCATAAACAGGAGAGTGGTCAAATAAAAAAATACCATGTCTATCCATGAAAAATCATCTAGGCTTTTAAAATCATGAGATAGATCAGTTTAGGTTGATAGAAGAGAATCTCAAAGACTTGTTATTGAGTTGAAAAAAAAATCAAGTGTCAAATCAACACCCAATAAGATCTTGGCTGAGCAATGTTATTTTAATAATAGCAATGTGCATCTTGCATGTATAGTTAAAATATAATAAGAAAAACAAAAAGTCTGAGTAGATATACAATGTGTTATATTTCATATTTTATACATACAGAATTACTCATGGAGTTGAGCTATGGCACAGGAACCTGGGTGGTGTTTGAATGCTTTGGGCCCCATTTTTCTGCCTTTTAAACTTTCTCCTATAAACAGCTATAGCCAGGGTTGTAATTCTGTTCATTTTTCACTTCACCCATCGAAATGCATAAAATCTGAGAAGAGGAAGAAAAGTCTCCTGCATTGATATCAGCAAGGTTCAGAGATCATTCTCTTGCTCATTCTGGTCATAGGTGGTTGGTATTGCCATTGCTAAATGATTGGAGTTCCAGCTAGAAACTTTGTTGTTTTAATTCATTTTGGTAAGGAAAGGGTTTGCCCAGTTCAAAGCTAGATGAAGGCAAATAGGAGCCAGGTGTGGTGGCAAACTTGGGAAGCTGAGGCAGAAAGATCACAAATTTGAGACAGAACTTGGCAACTTAGTGAGACCCTGTCTCAAAATAAGAAAAATTAAAAAGAGGCTGGAGATGTAGCTCAATAGTTGAGCACCCCTGGGTTCAATCCCACGGTGCCAACAGAGAGTGGGAGATGCTTTCCTCCAGTTGAGAAGTTTTGTTCTCAATTTTGATGAATGATTCAAATTACAATTTTGCCTTACATGTTGCTAAGGAGCATGTAGAATCTCTTTTCAAAAAGCATATTCCCTCATGCTTTATAAGGACAAACTGGATCGGTGTGGAAAAGGTTTGCCTGGCTGTGATTTTGCTAGCCCTAAATATACCCAAGCTGGCTCCTTTCTCTCTGTTTCTGCCCAAGTTGCCACCCCCTCTTCAACTGCTCTGCTCTGCAAAGTTTTCTTCAAGTCTTCCTGGAGCCTTTTGTTTACAATCAGTCAGGTTTGAGGGGATAATTAAATGATGAAATGGAGAAAAGGGTTTGGTAGCCCTTCTGACCCATTTTGTATTCTTTGAGATGATTTGAGCACCAAAGAGCCTTTTAATCAGTTTTGTGTGGTTCCTGAGTGGGTCTGGGTAGAAATGGCTTCAGGAAATCTGCAAGTTACCTAACATTGCTGTGCCTCAGTATCCTCTTTGCAAAGAGTGCTGGTCTTGCTCAAACTCTGAGGCACAAACAGGTCTGAAATTCCATATCCAACGCCACTGAACAACCAGCTGCCCTTCCTTAAAGGGATCTCTTTTGCTTCTCTGAGTTTGGGTTAGGCCTAGGAAAGAAAGGTGTAAGAATGGAATGTAGGAAAAGCTTGCTTTGCTATTTCTCACTTCAAAAGACCAAAGAAAAATAGTGTTAGCTGTGCCCACCTCAAAGAAAAGGGTGGGAGAGTTCTTTCAGTCACCCCTACCCCTTACAGGGTAGAATATTAATAGACCAGAACACATGATACAGGAGTTATTGGTAGGGTCCCTCTTTGTCAGTGTTTTGGTTTTGGAGGTCAGTGTCTCATTCTGAAAGTTCCAGAAATGTCACCCACTGGCAGGTCATTTCAAGGCRGGAAGATGAGAGTGGCAGCCATATTGGTTTGAGTGGTGAGTCTGAGGAGACGGTGATGTCTACTTAACATCCCAATCAGCACTGCCCTCCTCCAATCCTCCACTAGTTCCCTTCTCTTACTCACTCTTCTTTCTTTTACAAAAAAAAAAAAGTAAGATTTTAAATGGCTTTGAAGATAGTAACCTAAATAATTTTCATAATTTAATACCTCAGAAATGAGAAACCATAAACAGAGATCTTTTTTTTATCCCTCTTCAAAGCAAAGCTCATCACCCCTCTAGCCATGTGTCTCACATCTTATACCAGAATCATCTGATGCTTTGAAAAAGACAGATCCCTAGAAATATCTGTAAATTGGCCCCAGATTCCCTGTAGTAGGGTCAGGGGAGTCTGAATTTTTGTTTTGTTTTGTTTGTTTGGGGGCATATTCTTTTTTTGCGGGGGTGGGCAGTGCTGGGGTTGAAACCCTAGGATTGCAACAAATGTTAGGAAAGCACTCTACCACTGAGGCACATACCCAGCCCCAAACATATATATATATATATATATATATATATATATATTTTTTTTTTTTTTTTCTGGTACTGGAGGTTGAACCCAGGGTTGCTTTACCACAGAGCTACATCCTCAGTCTCTTTTATTTTATTTTTTTCGAGACAGAGCCTCACTACCTTTGAGGCTGGCCTCAAACTTGCAATCCTCCTGCCTTGACTCTTCAAATTGCCTGGGTTATAAGTGTGCACCACCACCCCTGGCCCAAATCTTTATTTTCTCTTCTTTTTTCTCTCTCTCTCTCTCTCTCTCTCTCTCTCTCTCTCTCTCTCTAACAAATTCCCATGGATGGTTTCTTTCCCACAGCATTTGAGGAGTTTATCTCAATAACCAAATCAAGGTCATGTTGTTGCTAATAACTCATCTCATATAATCTATCTCTGGACCACTCCAATCCATTTTGAAGGAAAAATGCTCCAGTTAGTATGCTGTTTTAGAACACAGTGTACATGTCATGTGCTAATTATGGCCAGTGACACTATAAAATAAAAGTGCATTACTGAATGCTTTCAATTTCTTATAATAATGGTAAGTAAGGTGGCATGTCATGGAGCCATTTTAGCCCCAGACATCACTCCAGAGAATTCCAAACAGATAGAGACAAGTGCCATCAGGACCCGGATCCTTTCCTCTCAGGCTGTTTACCCACAGAAATAGGATGCCCCGAGGCAACACTTCCCCAAAGTGAAGTGTTGATAATTCTGGTTATCAGAAAGATATTACTGGGAGTGTGATATGCAGAGCATTCACATTTTCTTGATAGGTTAGTCATATGAAAACTGACAAAGAAGGGAAAAGAGCAGTGATGTGGTGCAATATCAACAGACAGCTGTCCCCTGGCTTCTCGATAAATAGGATGACTCACATTGCTGAGCAGTGTGGTCATTGCCAAAGGAATGGCCCTCTCACATTTCTTCCTGATTCACATATTCAGCAGAGTGCGCTTGTCATCCCCTCCCTCTCGGGCTTCCCAGACATTGAGTCTGGAATGAAAATTCACCTGCCTCTGAGTTGGCCACTAGTGGGGGTGGTGGGTGTTACTTGTGTTCCCAGGTTGGAAGATTATCTCACCCTGCCCAAGCTATTTAAGCTGACGGGTGTGGAGAGGCTCAGCAGGGCCAACTCCAGGGGCTCATTCCACAGGAGAGAGACAACGCAGACCCCTGCCACCAACATGATGGTACTGAAAGTAGAGGAACTGGTATGTAAGACACATTATTTTTACACAAGGAAAACGGGCTCATCTTGGTTTTAATTTGAAAGTTGAGATGCCTTTTTCTTTCAGACATAATGCAAGGGAACTCTGAGAATGTCATATTTGGGAAAAAAGGGGTTGGTTTATGTGATGAAGCGAGTGAAATTGGAATAAAATGGAGCTGCCAGTAATGAATTCTCTGCATATTTCCTATTTATTATGTTCTCCTTTGGTTTTATTACTATAGTGTGGAATCACAGGTAGTTATCAAAATGCCTTAGGGGAGATTTTTTTTGCAAGAATATATGGCTGGAAATTTTCCAAGTCAATGCTGAGAGTTATCAAAATTACCTAAAACTAGGGAATTTTAAATAAGCAGAGAAGAGGTTGTGAATCTCCTAGAAGAAATCTGATTATGTGAACTCAAAGTAGATTTAAATATTTCAACCTACACTGAGCCTTACTTTAACTGAGAGAGTAGGACATGCACCTGAAGTTAATCCTGGGTTATCTGTAGCCATCTGAGAGTGTACCACATGGAGGTGCCTGTCACCAGGGAGGAAGGACCAAGAACCTCCTGCAGCATCCTCTGTGGAGAATGATCCCCAGTAAGGGCACTGCTCCTTCTGACCCTGCGGTCTTCTTCCTTTGCAGGTCACAGGAAAGAAGAATAACAATGGGGAGGCAGGGGTATTCCTTCCAGAGGATTTCAGAGATGGAGAATATGAAGCTGCTGTCACTTTGGAAAAGCAAGAAGATCTAAAGACACTTCCAGCCCACCATGTGAACGTCGGGGAGCAACAGTGGATAAGTGAGAAACAGCGAGAGGCAGAGGTGAGAACCTTTCATGGAATCTATTATTGGGGGGGTTGGCGCTGGGTGAGGGATGGAGGCACCATGGAAGAAAGGAAGAAGAAAGAAAAGAAAACCACTCCAGAGATGTTTTCTGGACCAAATTTTAATTCTAAAAGAGGCAAAATATATGGAATAGGTTTGGGAAAATAATTCTTAGAAAAGACCATGACTGCTGGATTCTGAATCAATGATTTAATGTGCTATGAGCATGTTTGATTGAGAAACAGGCTTAAAGAGATAATCATGTCATATGAGTTTCCAATGCCGTATTTTGTTTACTTAATCTCAAGTAAAGGAGACCTCTTTTTCTCAATAATGTGGTTTGTGGTCCATGGATCAGTTAGACTGTATCTGTTATCTGTATTGACACAATCTCTGTTGCCAAGCGAAGTCTGACTACTTACCAACACAGATAAAATGTGCATCAGTTTGCTATAGTCCCGACTAGTGGGCCACCTGAAAGAGAATGGCACTATTATTTCAGAACTTAATATTTATTATTAGATTCTTTTGGGCTGAAAAAAAACCTTTAATTTTTGAGCATGATAAAATTCTACAGAAATCTGAGGCTTATTTATGGCATTAATTAGGAAATCATCACTCAGAGACTAGATCCTGTCTCCAGTTAGTCAAGGGCAAAGGAAGAAAGCATGAAGGCAATTAGCTAAAAATTAGAACCCCAAATACCTGAATAAAAAATTACTAAACCAAAGTCAAAGAATTATTCATTTATTTTTTTAAATTTTCTTGCTCAAACTGTTCACATTCTTGTGTCAGACTTTGCAGATTTTGTTTAGACAACAGCAGAAGGCATGCCAAGTGGAATTCACCACGTTTTTGACACCTGGATTTCTTTTTTTAGCTCAAAAAGAAAAAACTAGAACAAAGATCAAAGCTTGAAAATTTAGAAGACCTTGAACTAATCATTCAACTGAAAAAAAGGAAAAAATACAGGAAAACTAAAGTTCCAGTTGTGAAGGAACCGGAACCTGAAATCATTGTAAGGACTGTTTGGTTCTGAAGTATTAATATCCAGTGTTGGTGGTAGAGGGGAGCAAATACTGGTGGAGGGTTTGACTGAATGTAGGACAGTTCACAGTGATTCTCATGCTATTTTTTTTTTTTTTTTTTTGGCTTTAGACAGAACCTGTGGATGTGCCTAGGTTTCTGAAGGCTGCTCTGGAGAATAAACTGCCAGTAGTAGAAAAATTCTTGTCAGACAAGAACAATCCAGATGTCTGTGATGAGGTAAGGTTTATTCCAAGCACTGCAAAATCCAGATCATTAATTTTGTATTTCTAATGCTTTACTGAAGCCTTGAGACTTTGGTGCCAAAGTCTTTCGACCTGAAACAGTTTCCCCAGCTGTTACCACATCTGCCAGAAGCATAACAGGAGAGTGCAGTTGCCCCCGCCCCCCCCCAAAAAAAAAATTCTGGATTAGTGCAATGGATTGGTTTTTGTATTCATATAATTCTGGCTGATTTTGAGTTTGTCTTTAATTTCTCAGATCCTTGGGAAAGACTTAACAAGGCAGGGTCTAAAAGTTACTTTTGGAGAAATATATTATTAACATTATCTTTGGTTGGAGCCAAACACATCAATACTAGACAGGCAATCTGGAAACTGGAGTTCAAGTTCCAGCTCTACGCCTACTTGGCTATTTGATTTTGAGCAAGCTCAAATGCATTCTTTAAGCCTCAGTTTCCTTAATCTGTAAACCTAGTCTACTACAGTGAAAAAAATGTCCAAAGTTTTTCCAGCTCTAATAGTCTATTAATTCACTCACATGAAGCCAATTTACTAGAAATCACTAATCCTTTTGTTATTTTCACCCCATGAACTAAGATGGGGGATCCTATTAAAAATGAGTCTCCCATTCTTTCAAGAAAATGAACTAAATCCTTTTTGATATTCAAGCTAACAACAGTTTTGAATGGAAGAAAATTGATCTGCATAACAAAATGCTACATGAACAAGAAAAGTGTAAAATACAAGAAAGGGAAATGTCAGTACTTAGGTAGCTTTGAGGTTTTAAGTCCACATCCCTCAGTGTAAGCCTTTGAGCACTTAGAAATGTATGTGGCAGGAAGCTCCAATCATAGTTGTGAGATAATTATTCTAATTCTGAAATTGTTAACTTTGGCTTTTCTGTTCATAAAGAAGTACTCAAGTTTCTATCAATTAGGCCTCCAGAGTCCCCAGCTTCATACCTCTGAAAGGATGGTGAACATTTATATATACATCGCTATCTCTTTTTTAAATCTCTGACAGTATAAACGGACAGCTCTTCACAGAGCATGCTTGGAAGGACATTTAGCAATTGTGAAGAAGTTAATGGAAGCTGGAGCCCAGATTGAATTCCGTGATATGGTAAATATATTTCTTTGCTTGGAAATGAACCAAAATAAGTAGACTATATGAAGCTCAAGAAAACCTATCCTAAAAAACTGGGCTGATTGGATTGAAAATTGATCTGAGAGAACCAGGCAAAAGCTCATTTCTCCATACAAAAGAGAGTTGGAAGATGGGACTAGGTCATGTGGAAAGTATTTCCCATACATGCTGAGGAGGGGGAGTGTTCTGGGGAAGAGAGAGGAAGTGAAAGCTGTTGAACAGAATTCAATAACCTCATCAAAGAGTTGGGTCATTATCAAGTCAGTAGCATTACTGAGAAGTCATACAGTTGACACTTGCCTTTCAACACCTCTGCCCTCCCATTATACACAGCAGCCTGTTCTTGGCCCCTGGGCTGCCAGCAATGTATAAGAAATTTTTAGCTGTGCACTTTATGTGAGAGATGCCAATTGCCACCGATGAGATTTGGAGCTAGACTGCATACTAAATGAATTGCATCCAAGGAAAGTAGCTGCTATTCAGAGCTCAATAATTCAACCATTGTGATTTCTACAAAAGACCAGTATACAGTATATTTTATGAACTGAAGATTGGGCTGGGAAAAGGCTTCATTTATTTAAATGCAGCTCAATTTGATGTTACAGTAAAGTAGAAAAAGGATATCAAATATTCAAAGGACTTGGCCAAAACCGAATCTAAAGACCAAACAAGTTGAAAAAGAATTAAAGAAGCAACAACAACAGCAATAAAGTTTGCATGTAGTGACACCAAAATTCAGGAGTGTGGGATTTGGAAGTCCAGAGATAAACCAAATAGAGCAGAGAGGAGGAAATCTACTAAAAGAACAATGTGCAGGGATCACAAGAAAAGGCAGTTGAGGTACTGAGGCTCTCCTGGAGAAAACGACAACAGGGGACATATTTAGGCAGTTAAATTACAATACTTGGTAAGAATCTTCATCTATAATAGTTAGAATTGACCTGGGGACCACCTAGTACCTCATGGATGCCCTAACACACCTGCATTCCCCTGGGCCTTAGAAACCCAGTACAAATCCTCCTGACCAGGTTCTCTCGTTGTGTCCTTTTACCTTCTGGTACAGCTCGAATCCACAGCCATCCATTGGGCATGCCGTGGGGGGAATTTGGATGTCTTAAAATTGCTGCTGAACAAAGGCGCAAAAATCAGCGCACGAGATAAGGTATTTCCCCTTCAGATCTCCCTYCTTCTTTCTGCCATCCTCCCAGCCGTCTTCCCAACCCCACCTCTCCACTGAGGTCATCTGGCAACGTGGGCTGTGTGGGCACCCTAGCCATGTCCCCCCCTTGCACCTGCCTTGGGGTCTAGGACAGGGTCTGTCTTTACTTCCAGCCAATCAACCATGTCTTCCCATTTTCTAGCTGCTCAGTACAGCACTGCACGTGGCGGTGAGGACCGGTCACTATGAGTGCGCTGAGCACCTCATTGCCTGTGAGGCGGACCTCAATGCCAAAGACAGAGTGAGTAGACGGACAAAGCTGGGCTGCTGAATTTGTTGGATTGTTTTTTTGGAATCTGGCAAGCAGGGGTGCCCGGACGGGACCCACTGCTGGCTTCAGACCTATCACTAGCCTATTGGCTCTGCCTTTCTAGGAGGGAGATACCCCACTGCACGACGCCGTGAGACTGAATCGTTACAAGATGATCAGACTCCTCATTATGTATGGCGCAGACCTCAACATCAAGAACTGTGTAAGTACTGCAAACAAGGGGTAGAGCTCGCAGGCCTCCTTATAAATAACCACATGAAACATTACTGCTTTCTTCCAGGTTTTTTTTATATATATATATATATATAGAGAGAGAGAGAGAGAGAGAGAGAGAAGCCTATATTTTTCAGATAACTTCCCATCCATTCTTCACTTTGGCTTATCTGTATATATCTCAAAATAATTTCCTATATTAAGGCCTTGAAAATTCTTGTATAAGTACAATATTAACTTCATCAGTAAGCAGGGAATGTAAGCAACTTTTTCTATGGTATAAATTCCCAGGCAAACAGCATCTAATGTAGGCTTTAAAAATATCAGGAGGAGGAATGAGTATAAATTACTGGAGAAATAATTTTGAAGATTTTGGAGAATTACTTTACAATAAAGGAAAAGAGTCATTTTCTAAATGCAAATAATTTCCTCTCCTTATTTGTGGTATTGTGAGGTTGAAAGGAATATTTTATCATTTTAAAAAAGAAGAAAATATCTGGCTTGGTGACAAGGACAAAGATTGGTGATAAATGGAGCCTATTTGGGATGGAAAATGTAACCAGTAGGGTTCCCTCATGCTAGATACTAAAATTGGTTTTATCTTAATAATTTTTAAAAGAGAAAAAGTAGATTCAAGGAAATCGCCAAAAAGCTGCAGAACATACAGTTTTGGGGGGACAAGATGATCAAACTCCCCAAGGGTCAGGTAGATCATGTAAATGACTTAAATGAGTGGCTCCTGGGGTCTGTGCACATGGCCCAGTAGGTTACTGTCTGGATCACAGGTGCCATGTTGCCACCTCTTCTGATTTTTGCACAAATCCAGTTAGGAAATTGCTTGATGTCCAACTGTTGCCCAACTGTTGCCAATTAAGTCTAACTTAAAAAAAAAAAAGTCAAATCTAATCTGGGCAAAACATAATAGATCTCTAGACTGATTTGCATCTCAAAGCTTCTAGTTTCCAATCTATGGCTTAAAGCATACTTTGGAATGAATTTTTAGGACTTCTCATAGCTAAAGACAAGCATTGAAAGGTGACATGGTTTAAATATTTGTAAATATCTTGAGACGTGTGTATAAAGGAGAACAAAATTTGATAAAAAATTATTGATTCACACACGTCATTGACATCAAATACGAGAAGAGTAAGTTCCCTGGGAAGACCTCGTGTAAATCCTGAGAAGCTGTGGAAAATCTGCTTTCAACAGTAGCCACCTGAGTGCTAACTCAAGGTGCACAGAGCAGCACCTGAGCGCTAAGCAGAGGTGCTGCAGTGGCTCATTTGTCAAGAGTTCATATCAATTAAGAATTATTTTCTGCTGGGTGTAGTGATGCACACCTGTAATCCCAGTGACTGGGGAAGCTGAGGCAGGAGGATCTGGCAATGTCTCGAGATCCTTTCTCAAAAATAAGAAGATCTGAGGAGGTCGCCAGGGGTACTCTACAATCCCCTGTATCCAACAAAACAAATGAAACAAAATAGACAACCAAAACCCAAAACCAGACTATTTTTCAAAGCAATAGGACCAAGAAGGATAGTACCACTTCCTGGAGCTATTAATTCCACAGAATATTGGAGATGTATACAGGCACTTTTGTTTTTTCAAACTTCAAAATGACTTGGGTTGCTCTTGTCACTTAATGTCTAAGGACCTGGGATATTACCAATATCCTACAGGAACAAAATAAAATAAAAAAAGCTAATATAAAATACCCAAAGCATTCCTATGAGAAACAGCGAAGGCTTGTTTGAATATAAAATGCAAATCACTTATAGTAGAAACCATAAAACACCTTGATAACATGTACTTTATTAGCATACCCACAGAGGATGGGAACTGATTATTCACATGCAAGTCAACTTCCCTTCTCTCTTTTGACTAGGCTGGGAAGACCCCGATGGATTTGGTGCTACACTGGCAGAATGGAACCAAAGCAATATTTGACAGCCTCAAGGAAAACTCCTACAAAAGCTCTCGTATAGCTACATTTTAAGAGAACCGAGACTCTTCATCAGTAGCTGTTCACTTTTTTTTTTTTTTTATTTTGAAGGCGTAGCCCAAAAGAAGAGTAACTAGCCATAAGATCCAGCTTGTTTGTCAACTTGTTAGGAAGACATACCTAAGGAAGTTTCAAGAAACCCCAGGGATATTATACCTATTTAAATTAATATTAGTGAAACTCACTGTTTTATTTATTTATTGACTTCAATGCTTATTTATTTATTAACTTCAATGGCACGGTTATTCTGACTTTCATGAGCATCATTTGTTGGGCAAAACTTAATTTGTGCATAACACTGTCAGAGCCTTTCCATAGATGGTTCTTAAACCATGCAAAGGTACAATGTTCTAAGTGCCAGCTTATTATATGTCCTCACTCATGCTGATAGTTTAAGGTATTTTTTAAAGGACAAGGGTGATTATCGCAGGCCTCTTTTCTTCTGGAGTTTTAATGCTGATGTTTGGGTGAAGCAATGGAAGGCATGTAGTAACAGGAAAGGAAACAAGAGCATGAAAGCAATTCAGTACAAAAGACAGTAAAGCCAGCCATTTCACCCCGGGCCTGGTTGTTGTTGCAGTTTTAACCAAGTCACACAGTGTACCAAAGCAAAAGAACGTCATGAGTGTAAGCGAAGGGCAGTAGAAGGATCTGCTGATGGGGCCATGAAGAACTGAGTTTGATCTCAAAACATGAAAGGAAATGCAGACTGTAAATGTGTAAATATTTATTATGTTGTAAGTATATTTTATATTCATAATAAAAACAAACTCACTCTAAACCTTCTTCTAAGTTCTTCTGTAAATATGGTAGGAATGTCCCTTGTGAAAAAAGGCCACTTAGGAGGGTGGATTTTTTTTCATTGTTTCCCATATTGGATATTTCCTGTACGATAGCACTCTCGGTATCCAATGTGTGTACAGATAACCCTGAGGATCTTGTTAAAATGCAGATTGGGATTCAGTTTGTCTCAGGTGGGGCTTGGGATTCTGTATTTCTGACAGGATCCCATATGATGTGGCCATGGAGTCCCACAACCACACTGGGCATCAAGGTTGAGAACTGTAAACATAAGGAAGCAGTTCTTTCTGCTCCAACTGTGTGGAGAAAGAGACCTCTGGTGAGATGAAAAAGTACTGCAAGTTCAATGAGTGCTCCTAAATCCCATAACTCATCAGAGCTTTAACCATCACTGCTGTGGATAGGGCTGGCAAGGTCAAAGGCCTTTGACTGACATTTTGACCTCCAATGGAAGCTAAATTGCTGCCAAGTCTAAGGTTAGGTGCTAAGGCCTCTGTGGATAAAAAGTGTCTCCTGTCTTTCTGGGGCAAATGAATATTAAAAACATAATTAGCTGGGTGCAGTAGCCCATGCCTATAATCCTAGTCACTCAGTGGGAGTCTGAGACAGGAGGACCACAAGTTCAAGGCTAGCCTCAGCAACGCAGTGAGCCCCTAGCAACTTATCGAGACTTTGTCTCAAAATAAAAATAACAATAATAAAATAAGGGGACTAGGGCTCTAGCTAAGTGATAAATTGCTTTGGGGTTCAATCTCCAGCACTCCCACCAAATAATAATAATTAGAAATAATATATAGTATCAATTTATGGCAAGTACAATGAAGGGAAAAAATGGAGTGTTATGAGTATCTAAGATGTGCAGGTATACAATTTGGTGGGGATGGGAGGGGGATTCTATAAAGAATTTTTTGGGATGGTGACCTTTAGGGTGACTATGAAAGATAAACTGGAGTTATTCAAGCATAGTGTTCCAGGCAGCAGAAGAGCATAGGAAAGGGCAAGGGTATGGGAAGGTCTAGCACTTGAAGAAATATATGAAGGCTAATGTGAAACACAAGCATTGTATCCCCCAAAGCTCATTCCAGGCAGGATCACGTATAATTAACCTCTTAGTAAGCCTCTACCATTTTGGAAGAGTGTATAGGCACAGTCTATAACCAGAAAGTCTTCCAGTTATTCAGTCATGGACACACCGAGTTGTGAGGTTGGTTTAAAAAATTTTTTTGTGAATTTTCTATCTACTCTCTAACCAATCCATGGAATTCATCTCCCACAGGCTTTTGAGTGTTCGTGGCAATTTCATGCTCTCTGTTCGCTTCCTCCTAATTCCCTTTTTGCCACCTCTGTGCCTTCCCCACAGGGTCTTGGCTAGCTTGTGAGAAACTTAATTTGTTCTTCAATTTTTTTTTCCAAGTAAATCACTTACAACACAGATGGCATTTCTCTTGATTCTACTGATAACTCTCATAGCATAATGTGGATGTATTACTATAAAATACAATTTTTACAGTATCGTCTTCAAGCCCCTCTCCCCAAAAGAGCAGGGAGGGAAAAAGGAGAAAATTTAATGAAAGTTGAGGATCTCTGTTGCCACAGAGAAATATTTGCACTAATAAAGAGGTAGAGAGCATGAGAGACAACAAGGAATAAACCCCATTAAACTAAGACCAACTCTTGTTTATCTGTAATGGAAGTGGTAAACACTTAAGGGAAAAATTTCACGTTTCTATCACACAGAGTCAATTTTTGTAAGCTCCTTGTCTTCCCGCTGAACTAACTCTTTGTTCACCATCTTTTATCTTGTGTTCCCTCTCTATAAAGGGCACATCCCATTAGCCAATGGAGAATACTCTAAAGTTGTTCTTGACCTTTCTCTTAGCTGCTCCCTTTCAATCAACCAAGTCTTACCAAGTACACAGCCTTCAGAACTCTGTAACCTGTCCCTGCCCTCCAGGCCTAGGTGCCTCTCTCCTAGTTTAGACCAGCATTACTTTTCCTCTGGAATACTCAAACACTCCTTCCAGGGCTGCTGGACTTCAGGCTTATATATTTACCTTCAGGCTTACTTACCTCTCTGTTTTTTTCAAGTTGTAACCAAAGATTTTTTCTAAAATGCAAATCTAATCAAGTCATTCTCCTTTCTAGCCCTTCCATGGCTTCACATTTTCCCCAGGATGAAATGAAAACTCCTTAACATGTATAATAAAATCCTTAAAATATGGCTGCTGCTAACTCTATTTTTATCTCTCATTATTTCCCTAGTTAAACTGAAAATTTCAGCTCTACCGAATTTTAAGTTCCTTGAAGAATCCAGGCACTTGATTTACTGTTTTTATGGGCAGCTCCCTCCCCATCCCAACCCACCCCAAAATATTGCAAAACTTCTTCTCATCCATCTCCTTTGGTTTAGTTGTATTTTCTCCAGGAAGCCATCCTTGAACCCTTAGATTTTGTTGGTTCCCTCAGGTGTGATCCAGTTGTACTTTTCCCCTCCATGTCATGATTTTTTAAAAAATTTATATATAACAGCAGAAATGTCATGATGTTGATCATATTGTTTTTCCTCTCTCCTCTCCTTTTCCAATGGAAAAATCTCCATTCTTATCTTGAACAAGCAATAATACTTATTAAGTATTAAACTAATATAGAAATGAATTTTGAAAATAGTCAACATCACCAATAATCTTAATTTCATGACATCCTTTGATTATGTGTCCACATTATTTATAGGTAGAAAGCAGTTTTCTAATTTTTTCAAGTGGACAGTTTATTCTAGGCATCTTTATAGATGGTTTTGTTTCAACATATAATGGATCATTTCATCCTGTCATTGGGCATTTATATTGTTTCCATTTTCCCACTATTTTAGTCATTGCTTCAATGAATGTTTATTTACAGACCCTTTAGACACCCTTTAAATGTTTATTTATACACCCTAACCAGTTATTTCTAAAGAACAAATATACATTAGTATCTATAAGATTAGTATGCCAATCAATAAGAAGTATCTATAAGGTTGGTATACCCCCTTCTACGATGTTATTGTCTGCACCAATTTTGAAAATATTTGTTTTATAAATCTTGGTTTTAATACCTTTTCAACTTGACATGCAAAAGCAAGATATTTTTGATGGGTTCGTTTCCCCTCATGTCTAGTTAAGTTCAGCATCTTCATGTTTAATGGACACTTTAAAAATCAACTTTATTTGCCTAGTTTCCTATGAAGTTGGGTCCCCTTGATAATAATTCTTGTGCAAGTGATTTATTTATTGAGTGCTCTGTAAGGGAATGAGGGGAAGGGGGAAGGACAGAAGAGACAAAGATGTGGTTTCAGAAGAAAGCTACCCTCAGCCTACTCCTTTGGGATACTTAGGAGCATAAATGGCACCCCAGAGGTCAGAGTCTGGGCTGTAGTGCCCTGAATTGGTCATTGGACATGGGCCAAACTCAGAAGTGGGCAATCCTTCCCAGGTATCCCTGGGCAATGTGACTTCTGTCAGGCTAGGACAACAGTCTGACAAAGGATAAGCCAACACCCTGGGAAAGGGATCTGGATAGACTCTAATAGAATTTGTCATGATAGGTATTTAAAAAAATAATTTCTTAAAAGCCAAGGATGATAAATCTCTCAAAATGTTTTTCTAATGGAATATTTTTATAGAGACAAATCCATCAAACTTTTTGTTTTCTGGCTTTGACGATCACACTTCATTTTATTCCAATCCAAGATTATTATTATTATTTTTGGTACTAGGGATTGAACTCAGGGGTATTTAACCACTGAGCCACATCCCCAGCCCCTTTTTAAATTTTCTTGACACAGGGTCTTGCTAAATTGATTAAGGGCTGGTTTTGAACTTGTGATCCTCTTGCCTCAGCCTCCAGGGCCATTGGAATTACAGGCGTGAGCCACCATGCCTGGCCCCAACCTGATTATTATTATTATTATTTTTTTAGAAAAACAAAATTACCATATTTTTCTCTGGTATCTTACAAATTTGGTTGAATCTTTACTCAATTTGCTATGGATGTGTACTGGTTGTAAGATAAAGATGTAACTCAATTTTTTTCCTAAATAATGCAATTATAACTGATATGTAGTAGGTACATTCTAAATACCAGGCCCCAGTCTAAGCAAGCTTTCTACAAAAAGTAAGCTACTTAACTCTTGCAATGATATCACAGGTAGGGAGAACAGATAAAGTGAGGCACAGAAAGATTACATAATTTCTCCAACATCACAGCTARTAATAGCAGCAAGTTTAGATTTTAATGCATGTAGTTTGTGCATTTAACCTCACTGTGTTGGCTCTGCTGTATAGATAACCAATTGTTTCAATATCGCATACTGAACAATTCATCATTTCTTTTTATAACTGGAGTGTGATCCTGGACTCCCTACTCTTTCACTRATCTCTCAGAATTTACATACCAATTACTAGAGTTTTATTGTATGCTACACTATTCATCAGTATAACTCTCAATAGGTTTTTCTTCAAAAATTTCATCTTTGTATTCTTTTAGAATGCCAAGTCCCAAATTGAAACATATAAACAAATAAAAACATCTATAGGCATTTTGATTTGGATTTTGTTAAATTCAAATTGGAGAGAATGTGATTTATAATTTGTCTCACTAAAAAAAAAAAAAAAAAAAAAAACAGAATACCTTTCTTCATGTTATTGCAGCCTTCTCTAATTTCTTTTTGTTATCTAGCTATTTTTGTGGTTTGGATGTGAGTTGGCCTCCAAAAGCTCATGTGTGAGACAATGCAAGAAGAGAAATGATTGTTATAACCTTAACCTAAATGGTGAATTAATCCTTGATGGGTTAAATGAACGGTAACTGGAGGCAGGTGGGGTGTGGATGGAGGAAGTGTTCATTGKGGATGTGGCTCTGGGGTATATATTTTGTATCTGGAGAGTGGGTTTTTTTCTCTCGTTTCTTAATCATCACATGAGCTGCTTCCCTGTACAACACTCTTCCATCATGATGTTCAGCCTCACCTTGAGCCCCCAGGAGTGGAGCCTGCTGTCTATGGACTGAGACCTCTGAAACTGTGAACCCTCAAATAAACTTTTCCTCCTCTATAATTGTTCTGGTCAGGTCCTTTTGGTCACAACAGCAAAATAGCTGACTAAAACATCTATATTCACTTATTGTTTTTACTAAGAGTTTTCTTCAGGAAAGTCTAACACATCCATTCCTTGGTAATTTATGTCTTTAAGAATATGGTCATCTTTTATAAGTATATAACAGGTTATTAATTAAAATTGTTGGCTTTGGTGAATTTAGTTTATAACTGGCCTTCCTGCTGAACTTGTAGTAAAGGWATTGTTTTCTTGTAGCAACTACAATGTTCTAACAATAGTGATTATTAAAATAGTGATCATGTTCTAACAATAGTGATTATTAGAAGGAAACCCTCTTGCTGCTACTCTTTGGTGACCATCCATCATGCCCTCCTATTTTGAATAATGGGAAAAACATGTATTTATAAATAGAAAGTAGGCACCACTGCAAAAACATACTATGCATACCCATACACCAAGAAGCACTTATTTTTCTAATTGTTTTCAATTTGCTTCTCTTGAGTTTCCCAAGATAGTCACATCTGCAAATAACTTTGCCTCTTTAACAGGAAAACCCTCAGTAGGATATTTGGTGAAATTGGAGCTAGTATAGTTAATTCATAAAGTAGATTAAAATGGGACTTCAAAAAAATTGGACATATGTCTCTTTAAATATTCTGAACTTAAAATACCTAAATGTACACTCACATGTCAATTTTTTAAAAGAAAGGTCAAAGTCTACAGATGCACTGATAAAAGAACCAAAGTTGTCCTTCAGTTTTAGTCCCTTTAGAGAGCTTAAGACTTTAGTGAAGTAATTTGAATGCAGAATTCTTCCTGGATAACCTTCAGATCTTAAGTTGTCCTGCAGATATCTAATATGATAGCAGTTGTTGGTTTTGTACTTTTGGTGGGGTGTTTGGGTACACCAGACTTTATTGGTGGTACTTGACAAGGTAAGGTTCCCTTAGCCCCTACCTTTCTTCAGGAGGTATGGGATGGATACTGTCAAGAAGGGGGATTTTATCAAGGGACAAGTGTGGGGACAGGGACTTTGGAGCAACTGATGGATTTTTCTTCCACATATGTTCTTGCTAATGCTACTGGTCCAAGGAGCTCTTATTCTTTGGAGGTCACTTGGACCACAAGGTCCATTATTCTGTTCCTGTAGCCAAATTCATTGTCATACCGGGAAATGAGCTTGAAAAAGTGGTCATTGAGGGCAGTGCCAGGCCCAACATTCACAGTGGAAGAGCAGGTGTCAGTGTTAGTTGCAGTGGACAATGTGATCCTCAGTGTAGCCTAAAATGGCCCTTAGGGGGCCCTCTGATATTTGCTTTACTTCCTTCTAGATGTCTTATTTGGCAGGTTTCTCCAGACATCAGGTCAGATCTACAACCAATGTGCTGGGAGCTGGCACATGGAAGGTTATGCTAATGAGCTTCCCATTCAGCTCAGGGATGACCTTGTCTACAATCTTGGCAGGACCATGCCTATCATGCCAGCTTCCCAGAGGGGCCATCCATGATCTGAGTGGCAATGATGGCATGAACTGTGGTCATGAGTCTGTGATGCTAACATTGTTATAGATGACCTTGACCAGGGATGCTAAGCAGATGGTAATGCATGAGGCATTGCTGAAAATATTGAGGAAGCTGTCATACATCTTGAAGTTTATGCTCATCACAGGGACATCAGAAGGGGCACAGAGATGCTGACCCTTTTGGCTCACTCTTCAATTGAACTTCGGCCTTCTACAAGGTAAAGACTGAAAATTCCACTACATATTTACCACCAGCATCAACCTATTTAATGTTAGCATGTTATCTCTTCTGGAAGGTGGATATGGGTTTCCCATTGATAACATACTTCTTATTCTTAGCCTTGRGAATGGATGAAATCATAGAACATGTAAACCATGTAGTTGAGGTCAATGAGGGGGTCACTGATGGCAATAACTGCCGCAGTCTGGCTGAGCAAAATAACCGGGGGTGACAAGCAACTTGTGAAGGTTGAAACAGCGGGAGCCACTTTATTACGGGACATCAGAGGTATATATACCCAACTAATTACACACAGCTTAACTTAATTAACATCATCTAGATACAGCAGTCAGTCATTAAGGAATCCTCATCATCTTAATGGCTCGCTGGTGTTACTTCACAAACCACTCCTCCTGGCAAACTGCCAGGCGCCATCTTGACTTGGTTGTGGCCCTCAACAAATAACATTCACTTTGTTAGAGTTAAAATTAGCTCAAGTAACCAGCACTCAATATGGTCATATCCAGTTACTATGACCTTCACCATTATATCAAGGTGGTGGCTGGCACTATACAAGATGCAGTTGTCTTGTTGAATGGGGAGAAGCAGAAAACTGACAGTTCTTTTYAATGATTCATCTTTCCCAAGCCTTTCCAAAGAATCAGTTTAGATGGGGATTCTTTCTATGACTTTCATAGTTGATCAACTTTCATAGTYTTTAAATTAACTTGCATAATTTACAATATTAAACACAAGTGGCATAAACAGACAGCTGACTTTTGGTGAATTCATGTGGGGTAAAGGTAGAAGCAAACGGGCAAAGAAGAGGCAGAGGGGGTGTATGGATGCAGCAGCAGCCATCAGTTACAGAGGCAATAGGTATCCTAGTACATCAAATTGGCCAAGTGGGTATCAGTTGATACTTTAATTTTAGAACCCAACATGCTTAATATAAATGCAAGTGTGTATGTATAATCACATGTGTACTTGTGCAATATTCTTCAACTTGTATTTTACCGAGGATTGTCATTGCTATTTATAAAATGAGTGGATTTTACATTTTATCAAATGCCTTTTTGGTATTAAAGCTTTTAAGTCTTTTCATTTGACTAATATAGTTTTCTCATTTGATTTATTAATGTGATGTAGTATATTGCATTAGAAAGAACTGAAATATCCTAACATTCAGAACTGAACTGTCCTTGAATTCCTGGAATAAGTCTGACAGGGTCATGTTGTTTCGATGGTTTCTTTCTACTAATATTTTATTTGGGCATTTACATTTGTGAGATAAGTATAAGGCTTTCTCTTTTAAATATTAACTTTGACTCTTAAAATGGTGTTTTTTCTCATTGATTTTTTTTTTTTTTAAATTCAGTTAGACCTCTTGCTGTACTTACTCCATTAGGTTTTAGGGTCCTTATATCAATATAGCATAAGTGCATATATTTAAAAGAAAGGCTACTTCTACTTAACATGATGATTCTATTATTTTTAAAAAAATGTTTCTGAAGTGTTTTGAGTCAAATGCTTTGMTATCTTAAATATAGCCATGAGGAAAATCACTTATTACTTTTTCAGGGTTTTCCAATTAAAGGGAAGGGATCTTTTTCACATATATCACAAAGGTAAGGAAAAAAAAAACGGAAGAGGCCAAGTGTAATTTTATGTACACACTCCCTCTCCTTCAATTCCTTTTAGAAAGAACTCTGACAATGAATACATGAATAGATCAACTAAAAGTCACCCCCTTAATATAAGTTGTATTGGACTTCAAAATAACCACTTTTTGAGTTATAAGATTAAAAATAATAAGCCATGTATATCAAGTAGAAAAGCATTAGTTTTTAAATGAATAAGAAACATTAATATTAGAATCTCTCAAAATATTGAAACATTTGTTTTGGTAAGAGGAACTGAATTTACTGAGCTTAACTACCGAGTCACATTCCCAGACCTTTTTATTTTTTATTTTGAAGGTGGGTTCACACTAAGTTGCTTAAGGTCTCATCAAGTTGCTGAGGCTGGCTTTAAACTTGCAATCCTCCTCCTCAGCCTCTCAAACTGCTGGGATTATAGGCCTTTGTCTCTATTATTTTTCACTTACCCAAAGGATAAACAAACTAGCCTGTTTTTCTTTTAAAATATACCTAAATCCATTAACTGTTAGCCTGTTTTTTTTTTTTTAAATGTGTCACTAGGTTTTGTTAGTTGTTTTAATGGCTTCAGTGTAAAATAATTATTAAGACCATTGGTTTCTAGCTTCAAATCAAAACAGCAAATCATGCAAAAGTTTTATTTTTATTGTGGATGATAATCTACAAAATGGAAAAAAGTAGTGCTGTCAGAGACTGGTCCATTCTTTTCAGCTTTCACACTTAGCTTTTTTGCAAGCTGGAAGAGAATCATCACCCTCTTCTGATGGCCGAGGTTTCTTCACTGTAGAAATAATTCCAAAAGCAGTTTTTCTAGTTTCTATAAAACAGAAATTCGTGTGTGAAGGAAAGACAATTTAAAGAGAAGTGGCTTAACAAGTATGACTTTGAATTTGGCTGATGGCATTAGCTAATGATAAAACCATAGTGAACTGCTACGGCTGCTGATGCCATTTATGGTCATTATCTTTTTCCTAAATATATACAAATCATATATTACTAACATAATTTATTCCTAAAGATTACCTCATGGGTAAAAACCTCAGAATAGGATTTTATCTTTTTATAACTTTGTTTTATTTGCTTATTTACTTATTATTGTTATTTTTAATGTAGTTCTGAGGATCAAACCCAGTGCCTCCTACATTCTAGGCAAGCACTCTACCATGAACCACAACCCCAGCCAGCCCAGGATTTTATCTTTATGGTCATGGTCTGTCTGTAGCATATTATGCAGCCAGAACCCAAATCTCGTATTTGGTAGAAGCTGAACAAATCACAAGGGTGAATATAGCAGTAAGTCAACTGTATTGCTCCTATAGTGGGGGGGTGGGCTCACCTCATTTAACAGCATGTAACATCTCTCTCTCATACACACAGGATTAATGTATCTCTGAACAATCAATTGTATTGTACCGCCTATACCCTCATTATATAACAAGTGTCCAATAAATGCTTGTTGAGTAAATAAACAAAACCAAACACACTCTATTTACTTATTTATTTTTTGGTACCAGGGATTGAACACAGGGGCGCTTTACCAAGGAGCCACATCCCCAGCCCTTTTTTATATTTTATTTAGAGACAGGGTCTCACGAAGTTGCTTAGGGGCTTGCTAAGTTGCTGAGGCTGACTTTGAACTTGTGATCCTCTTGCCTCAGCCTCCTGAGCCACTGGGATTACAGGTGTGCACCACCGTGCCCAGTCAAACATACATTTATTGATCCTTTATGTGTTAGTGACAATGGGCAAGGAACAACAGGGATAATTTTAGATGCTCAGATCAAGTTAGCAGCAGAAGTCCACTTAAATTTAGCCAACTTCTGCTAAAACTTACTAATGGGTCAGGTACTATTACTATGTCATACACACAGGGCATAAAGATACATTACAGACTGTGCTTTTCCTACAATACACTGGAATAAATACATTAAGAGCAAATACAATAGGTATGGGGAAAACCATTAAGAATCATGTGGATAAACCAATAAACTATCTTCTCTAAAAAAGTGACACTATTTGGAATAAAGAAAAAGGTGGTGACAAGGTGAGGAAAGAAAGCAAGGAGACAGAGGTAAGAATAACCTGGGCAAGAATGTGTAGAGGAAATGAAGCTGGAAGGATAGCTTAGGAAAGGTCAGAATGTCATGAAGAGACTCAAACTTTGTCCTTGAGAAATGGAAAGAGATTATGAAAAAGGAAGAAGATACSTTTTAGCTTCAAAGGAGATAAAATGGGAAAAAAAATGAACAGAAATTTAGTTAAGAATTATTTCTTATTTTAAGTAATAAAAGTAAAGTCGGCTCAGAAGAGCTAAGCATTACCTTTCCATTTGTGAGGACTAACTACCAGTTGTTTTAAAAACATTTTAATTTATAAAAGAGACAAAATTGATTTCAAGGACATTAAAATGCCAACACAATGAGAAAACCTCAAACAAACTGTCAATGATTTCTATTTCACCAAATGAAAAATGTTGCATTTATATTTATATCATTATGATTGATAATAGTCTAAAAACAGTTGAATAAATAAAAATACATGAATTGTGAAAACAAGCACTTTATAACATTGTTAATTTCACTAAGAATTATTTTAGTTCCATCTCAGAAATGTTTTATTTTTACTACATGAATATTTTCTCCTTAATTTAGCTGACATAAATAACTGAACAATAAGTTCAGTTTATAGCTATCAAAGTAGCTCTTTTAGTGTCTTTAAAAAWATATATATTTTTTATAACAACAAGAAGTTTTATTTGTGTGGAGCTTTTGTTTTAATTTGCTTTTACACAAAGCATTTTCTTTAATCATCTTGCCAAGGAAAATCTACAACTAGCTCTAAAACAATCATTGAAGAGTGTSCTATTTTGTTCAAGAGAGTTAAAGCCTTGTTCCTACCAGGTCCATTTCAGTCCAATGGCTGAGGACACTTCATATATTGAAGACTGTGCGCTTGAAACTTTTTACTCACAACCTCCTCAGAATTTCTATTCAGTGTTTTCTGGAAACCTAGAATCTGTCTAGTTCTAATTGCCAGTGGCAAGCCTTTCAATGTTGAAAACCACAACATATTCAAAGTATTGTTTGCCAAGTAAGCATTCCTGCACTGCTTTCAATGACTCCCTCATCATGAGGTTTCTAGACCCTTTGAACACTTATCAGCCATCTTCTGGAAGTGCTCCAGTGAAGTGCCATCCTTTTGAAATGTGGCACTCAAAATGATACAGATGCCACCTGAGATTTCATCAATGAAAGTATAATGATACTTTGAATCCTTTTCCTCCGAAYCATTTCTCTCTTCTAATGTAACCCATGCTGAATTAGTAATCTTTTTTTTTTGAGATCAAAGGCCATCAACTTTATTTTACTCAAGTCACTTTCTCTACAAACACATTGCTACTAAAAGAGCAAAACAGGAGAGATTTTTTTCAGACTATAAAATAAGCTTCTACTTTTTCCTTAATGCAGGAAGACACACTACAAATGGGGAGTCAAACGATAGTCCTTTATCTCTAAAATTTATGAATGAAATGCATTTTTTTCCAACTAGTTTTTGTGTGTCTTTCAGTATTAATTGGATTTTCTCAATGGCCTTAAGCAACAGAACTAAATTCTCAAGGGCTCTCATTAGTAAAGGCTGATGTTAAAGCATRGGTAACCATTAGCTCAAAGGTGAACCATAGACATTTACCATTATTCATATTGTGTCTGTTTTTTTTCATAAAGGTCCACAACTCTTTTTGTTTTCTTACAGTGATGATGTTTTCTTATATGATTTATAAGCACTATTAATGAGAGAAAATTTTCATGAGAAATACTTCAATGACTCGGTCAAATATACAGATTACTGCATTCCCCTATAATTTCCATCAATTATCTATTCAGCTATGTATATACCACCCCAAACATACAATCCACTGATATATTTGGAAGAGCTGAAAGACACAAATTGTGTTAAGTTATTCATTAATTGGAATCCAGATTACTCTTCACTTAAATACTGTGAATTATAATCTTAAGATACCTCATACTACCATCTCATTCTGATGTCAACTAAAACTAGGGTAACTTTAATTTATTATCTAATTATAATTTATTATATTTTATGATAATCAGAATTTTACAGAAATAGCAGTTATGAACTATGCCTGTCCTAAACACATTGGTAATGCCAYCTGAAGCTAAAGAGTCTTTTAGTTTAGATTCTAGAAAAGCCTCACTTTAAATATCATATGTTAAGTAGTTAAGCCTTTTAAGTCAGATGCAGAAATTTCACATTTCCTACTTTTCCTTTCAGTTCCCTTTCTTGTTTAGTCTATTTTTGAACAAGTTATCCAAAATCGTTTTTCCTCTTTTTGCCCCCAGTTCTAGAGATTGAATCCAGGGCGTTCCACATTCGAGGCAAGCATTCTATTATTGTACTACCACTCTCAGACCATTAGGCACTCATTTAAAAATATACAGAAATAATGGAAGTACTACCAAAATGTGAACCAACTCTTCCCTAATTTCAAGAATGTCTTGATAAASATCCCAATTAATTTGATCATTCCCAGAGCTCACATGATCAAGTAAAGATTATATAATATAAAAATCTCCAAATAAAAATGTTAAAAGGAAAATCATGTAATTTATAGTAAGCCAATAAAATAAGCAGTTGTCTCAAGTGGAAATCAGATCATTAAAGTACACACACAAACAAACAAACAAAACAAGCCCTCAATAACCTAGCTATTCCTATCACAAATAACTTAGTCTATGTAATAACCTATTCTAAACTTTAAGATTCATTTGGATGCTACCACATAAACTGCTTCTTAACCACAGCAACTACTATTAAAAATTACAGAGAATGAAGCAAAACCACAGGTCAAAAATTTAAATTATGTAATAAAACTTATTCTCATTTTCCAAAATTTTGTTATATTTCTATTTAAATTTTTATCATGTGATGAACAAGAAATTTAGTGGGTTATAGTAGTGGAATTAAGGGTAAGAAAGAAATATATATATATACTTTAAAAAATGTGACTTAAAAATAAAGTCTGTACATATACAACAAAAATATAAAAAGAAACACTCTGAGTTGTTATAAATGTAAAAGTTACAGTCCAAGTTTAGTTAGGTGGGTTTTTGAAAATGTATTCACTGTTTCTGTTTTTCTAATAAACAGCTTACCATATATTTCTAACATACCAATTCTCTAAAATAGCAATTTTCATCAAGGAAAGCATATTCCTCTGGAGAGGTGGGATGAGGAAAGATTAGAAGTTATCTCGCGGGCTACAGCGCACATATGTAGCTTGAAACAGCATTCAATATTTATTTCTGTAATGCGAAGTATATTCATTCTGCAAACTACAGAAATGACAGCCTGAAATGATGGATATGGGTAAAACAGGTGAGAAAAGATGACCTCAAAGGAACTCTGGAGATAGGATAATAAAAGTAGATAATGGTTCAACTGTCTGATAAAAATGAGTTGCCTCTAACAGGACCATTCAGTTTTTATTGAAAGAACTTACTCACCTCCGTGGAGAAGTGCTGCTCGGCAATTGGTGGACACTGCAGCCTTAGCATCACTTTCAGATAGCCCAAACAGCAACCCTCTGGTAGCACCATTAAGGATCTCAACTCAAGAGTCAGCTAAGGACACGAACTAACACAAACATGACACTAAATGCCAGCTCATCTTGTCACATTGAGAGAGACTAATGAATTCTACAGTAGTTCTTACCCCAACTGGAACATGCATCTGAGAAGAGACTTATTTAACTCTTTTCTTATTTTCTATCTGATGATTAATCCAAATATAAAAACAAAACAGAAGGTTGAAGCTCTCTACAACAAGAGAAAATTTCTGAAGACATTAATTGGTAAGCTTACAGTAAGAGGTTGAGAAAAAAATCATATTACACTCTAGTACCACTTCAAATTCTAAATTTCTTAAAATAACATTTCAATAGAAAGTGATTAATATTAATATTAGACTAATGTAAAAAACCCCAAAGAGTCCAATAACCCAAATAACAAATAATCACATTTTAATATTTACAGCTAAAATACCAACTTATTTTTCATGATAAGGTAAAATAATTAAAGTTCAAAACGGGAAATCTCATGTCAAACTAAAGGATACAAGTTTGCCACATCATATGGCCCTCTTATTTCCAAAGGCTAAAATAAAATGAACRAAAAATTGAATATGAGAAGTTATTTAATACCATTTCAATGGCTTTATTTGCAGTGAATTAATAGGATGCCTAAGTATCCAAAATCAAATCAATTACATACATTTAGATCCTCATAGTTTTGATGGGTTTCTTAGGTTTATGAAAATATAAACAAACCTTTAAAAGCATTTGTAACAATATAAAGGAAAACTATATAAACAAAACTTGAAGCCCAGAATGAATGGGGATAAATTTTACCTTTCAGCAATTATTATGAGCAAATGCACAGTTAAAAGAGAAAACATGAAACTCATTATATTACTATTTTAATTTCTCCCATAGAAATCCAACAAAGTTTTCTAACTGGAAGAGCAAAAACAAAGTACTTCATGCTAGACTTACCCTTTCTGCAGCACTGGATATAATTATATTCTACAAAACAGAAAGTACTCACTATTAATCTTAGATAAAGTAAAAAAAAAAAAAATCACTGAAATGTCTTATAAACAACCAGTAACCACATTTTAACATTTAAGGCTCAAAAACCAACTTCTTCTAATGATAAGTTAAAYAATTCAAGTGAAAAATGAAAGACCTCATGTCAAACTAAAGGCAGCCTATAAAAAGATACAGAACAGGCTTTCTAAACAAATCTTAGTAGACATGAATTAAGTTTAGAAAACTAGTTGAAAAGGTCATATACCCTTAATTCAACTCACTGATAACAAAACAACTGTTATCTAGACTACTCTTTTCATAGTGGTAAATTGCAAATTCCTTATCAAAAGATAAAGGCTTTCTTTCAACACATCTTCCCCTCCCTTTTGCTATTGTTCTGTTGATATTTTTCTTTCCCTTAAAACTTGCAGAGCTCATTGAAATTGAAGAATTTATGCCTGTGCCTTGAGAATTTCCTGCTTTAGGAAAAGGGAATCAGTTTGACAATATCAGGGTATTAATAATAAACTGTCAGATTCACATCTAAAACATCCTAAACATTCTAAATTCTAAAATTTATGGAACCATACCTTTCCTTTGCAGATCTGCATCAAATTGAGGGCATTGGAAATTGTGTACCTTCTCATTGTGGAGTCTTTGATGGCAGGACTATAGACAAGTTCAAAGCCCAGGCCTCGGTCAATTGCCTTCACAGGAAATAAAGAAAAGAAACTGTCTAGGATGAACACACACCGTCTTATTTAATTTTCACTTACGTCTCCACTCCATCTCTACCACCCATCTCTTACACATCAAGGTATAGCCTTAAACAAAGGCAGATATGCACCCAAATGGCAACACCAACAAGAAGAAAACAGCTCTGCATTGAATTTGATCCACAGAGTTTACCTCAGCTGTGGGGAAGCTGACTTTATATATAAACAGGAATTATGAAGAGCCTAAGGAAAGCAAAGTCCCAGTGGGATGGCAGAAGAGCCACTCCATGAACTATGGAAAGGAAAAAAAGATGTGTTTCCCTAAATATAGGGTAAATTAAGTGCAAACATAGTAAAAAACAAAACAAAACAAACAAACAAACAAAAAACAAGTACTTTGGCTTAAGAATGAAGAAAGGAAGAAAGAGACAAATGAAGATTTCAGGAACACCTACAGAATGATAAAGCCTTTCCGGTAAGTCATTTATTACAAACTAAGTGGAGTGAGAGAATAAAAGTCATGGTTCACTGAGGGATGACTATGTGCCAAGCACTGTACTAAGGGAATGCTATGTATATATTTAACGCTTATAACACCTTTATAGAACACTATGGCAGAGATGCTCATTTCTCAGATTGATGGCATATCCCAGAAAAAAAAAAAAAAAAAAAAGATGGAAGAAGCTGGGACCTTGAGGATTTTACCCAGCTCACCATACAAGCATGGCTTTTTTTTTTTTTTTTTAAAGAGAGAGAGAGAGAGAGAGAGAGAGAGAGAGAGAGAGAGAGAGAGAGTTTTTAATATTTATTTTTTAGTATTTGGCGGACACAACATCTTTGTATGTGGTGCTGAGGATCGAACCCAGGCCGCACACATGCCAGGCGAGCACGCTACCACTTGAGCCACATCCCTAGCTGTATGGCTTTTTTTCATAGGAAAAAAAAAAAAGTTCTCTCATTTAGTATATTTTTAATACATAGGGATTTCTAGGTAAGAAAGCCTGGAAGGGATGGAAATGGGATTGAAATGAATTTCAATGCTATTGAGCTTCCCAGGTGAGTGACTCATCCATTCACAACAGATGTTTTAAGTCCACTATGTATAAAAGCTACCTTCTAGGAGCTTATAGTTTAGAGGGGGAGACCATCAAATAAATAAAGACCTAAAATTTCAGCTGTAATACATATTATTAAGGAAGAGTCTGAAAGTGGGTATGGAGAAATTAAGTAAATCATAGCAGAAGGAACATTTTTGAGAGAAGAAAAGTAGGCTTGGAGCACAGTGACATGTAGGGGACTGGGGATATAGCTCAGTGATAAAGCAGTTGCCTGTTTAACCACTAGACCTGTAAAACAAAAACAAACACAAACAAAAAACCAAATGGAAGGCCTGCGGGTGGAAAAGAAAGGAGGAGGGGAAACCTTGTGGTGAGAGTTGAGGCTAAAGAGGATGGGAAGGACCAACTTGTATGGGACTTAATAATATATGGTGACAAAGATTAATCATAACAGCAAGGGGAAATGTCTAAAGGATTTTTAGTATGGTTACAAAAGTCACACAGGCTGTGGTRTTGTTTGGAATGAATAAGGAAGGATGGTAGGCATGGTCTGCGCAGGACAGTCCAAGTCTGTGGCTGGCAAATGAGCTTATATTACCCAGAGGATGAGTTAGAACTCGTCCAGGTGAGGCTGCTGAAGTCTACCCTTGAGTGTTTACAGGGAATGAAGAAACTCGTCTTCAGAACTGTCCACCTTGATTTACCTCTGGTGTACACTGAGGGTCCCTTCTACATTTCCTTCCTGAACACAGATTTCCTTCTTTCCATCCCCAAATCTTCCCTTTTCCCCAGGCCTAAGGCTCTCAAATTTATATTTTCCTACATATCTGGTATTACTTTWGTTGGAATTTAAATACTATTTTCTAAACTGCGACTTTTCTCTCTCCCCTTATTTTTGAAAAATTTCCCCCACGTCTAAATCTTTGGCTTGTGTTGATTATTTCTAGGAATGACATTTGTTATAACACTCTTGGTACCATAATTAAATCTATACCTCCTTCTTCCTGCCTAATTTATAAACTCAGGGCTGGTGTCACAACACCTCTTTGTAACACCCAATTGTCTTTTATCCAAATAGAAATATATTTATATTTTGAGTGAATAAATAGTAGTTTATGGAAAAGAGGTCATGACAATGACCAGGTACAAGGGTGAACTTGGCTAACTAAAATTCACAGATAAATTAAAAACATCTCTTTTAGTCATGTTATCATCTCCTTTGCTATTTCTTTTACCAAAACTACCAATTAGTCTAAGGAATCTACTTCTTTTCCTCATTTCTCTAGTTTCGGGACTAAAACACAAAGCAGTAGAATAAAGAAGATAAGTGAGTGATTTAGAGCTGGATGATCAGATCCCAAAATATTCCTAATTGACTGAACCTAAATTTCTAAACCCTTGTGGGGATCAGAGCAAATTAAAAACTCATTGTGAGGTAGAGAAGACAAAAATAAAGATAAAATTATCAGCTTAATTCTTTAAAAAAAGTTATGATATTAATCTTGGTACATTAATCAAGTTCACTTTAAAACTGGCAAGAATACTCTTGAGAAAGACAAATAAAAGATAATGTGCCATTGAAGGTTGTGCACATTTCTCTCATAATACCTTATTTAAAATCTTTAGATGAATAAAATTTATACTCATTACCTACACTCCTGTTTCTAAGACCATTTTAATGTAAATCACTGTATACTCATCAAATGATTGTTCATAATAGCCTCTTCATAAAGAATGACAGTGCTTGCTTGATTGGCTTTTGTTCCCATGCCTGACCAAAGGTTCTGCAATAGGCAATGCTTAGATTTCTTTACTAATGAGAATAATAGTCATAAAGATGCTACCAAGGGCAGGTGTGTAATACTTGAATTAAGAGAAAATGGCCATAAAATTCAAGTATAAAAACTTAAGCAAAGCTGTAGACAAAGAAGAGAAGAAAACAGGGAGTTGATTACTAGGATAATATTCTGTCAATTTCGTAAAAAAATAGTTTTTTAATTGAATTCAAATGGATGACAATATATATTTGTTCACAAGAGCTGCATATTAAATAAAAATAAGAAAACAATAGTCTTATGTGCATCTCTGCTTTTATTTGCCCCATCCTCACCTCCCGTGACTACTTTTTTTAACTTCTTGTCTTCTTCCAGTTTCTTCACACAAACATAAGCAATTATGAACATGTATTATTTTTTCTTTTTCTTACCTTAAAGGTAGCTTTGTCCTGAAAGCTTTACTATGTCAGGCCACAACCTCTATTCTCTTTATAGCAGCATAGTATTACATTGTAAAGATACAGTGTATATAATGTTTAACCAAGCCTCTACTGATAGATTTGGGTTGTATCAACTACTTATAGAATAAACACTAATGTGGGTTTGCTGGATATTATAAATTGTGTCCCCAACCATAACAAATATATCTTATTTGAAAATAGAGTCATTGCAAATATAATTAAGATGAGGTCATACTGTAAGAAGGAAGAAAGGCTCCTAATCCTACAGGACTGGTATCCTTACAAGAAGATGAACATGTGGGGAAGGGCTAGGATAATAAGAGGGGAAGAATAAGGAGGCTGGTTATAATCAAACTATGTTATGTGCATGTATGGAAACATCACATAAAAAAGATTAATTTGTACAATCAATATGTGCTAATGATTAAATAAACACACACACACACACACACACACACACATATATATATATATATATTGATGACCACGTGAAGACACACAGGGAGAACATACTGTAAATAAATACAAAGGCAGAGATTGGGGTTAATGCAGCAAACAGCCAAGGACAGTCAAAGAGTGTTAGCAAAATCACCAAAAGATAGGAATAGGTAAGCAAGGCTTACCTACAGGTTTGAAGGGGAACACAATCCTACTGATACCTTGATTTTAGACTTCTATTCTCCAGAATTGTGAGACAATAAATTGCTGTTGTTTTAGACTTTTTTTTTTTTTTTTGGTGGCAGCAGGGATCAAACCAGGGGCTTGAGAAGGCAAGTACTTGCTAGGCAAGTACTCTATCATTAAGCCATATTCAGCCCTTAAATTTCTGCTGCTTTAAACCACTTAAGTTTGTGGTACTCAGTTATAGAAGATCTAGGAAACTAATATACTAGGTATAGTTTATTTGTGATTTTAATAGTTGTTGCCAAATTACCCACTCCCCTCAGGAACTGTTCTGATTTACACTATTACAAACAAAGTATGAGAATGCCTATTTTCCCAAAGCATTATGACACAGTGTATAGGCAGATTTTAATATGAATTTAAATATGAATTTGTCTTATAGTGAATTTAAATATCTTTTCTTCCTTTTTCTCTTTCTTTTTGTTTTGGTGGTGCTGGGAATCAAACCCAGAGACCCTAAATGCCAAGCAAGCATTCTACCACTGAGTTACATCCACAGCCCTTAGGCTACTTTTCTTATGTTTAAAGGACAATCTGTATTTCCTCTCCTATGAAAGGTCTTTTAACATTCTTAATCCATTTTTTGTATTGTTTATTCTTTTTCTTTTTAAAAAAAATTTCTCAAGTAACTAAAGATAACTTGAAGTCACTGTTAATGGCAAAACATTAAAAAACAAAAAGACAAAGCAAAGGTAAAGGTAAGTGGTGCTTAAAAAAAATCCTTCTCAAAACACAAATGAATAAAGATCATGTTTTTTTTTTTTTCCTCTCTCTCTTCAATTCCATGATTCCCCATTCACAATGCAGACCAGGCACAGGGCCTGGGCTGGGTGTACATGCAGTATGCTTACTCCATCTCCTCTTTCTATATTGTCAGTGGTAAGAACACACCCTGTGGTAAGTACCAGGAGGCCTAAAGATCATGTTTTAAAATATGAAATTATTCTGTGTTTAACAAAGAGTTCAGATGTAAAATAACTTTACATAGCATTTCAGAATGATAGATTTGGAATCAAAACAGTAAAAATCCCTAGCCAACTCTTTTGAGAGAAACATTTAACCATGAGTCACAAACTACCTGAGGCTCAATTTCATTACCTGCATATGGAGATAATGAACATCCACCCCACTTCAATGCTACTGGGCCACAGCAGGTGTGAAAGTGCTTTTGCTATAAAATGCTGAGGAAGTCACTTGATAATCCACAAAAAGCAGTTGAATCCAATTTTTTGGAAATATATCTATCACATAGTAGAGCTGAGATTGCCATAAAAATTAACCAAAAATTCCAGAAGAGGTTTGTAGAAGATTTTGTAGAAATCTGCACAACTGATATTATGGAGCCCTAAGCACATGGTGAAGATGACAAAAAGACCTAGTGCTGTTGAGTACTGTCAAGTGCACAAATGGAGCACTTTGGTATAAACGCTAGGTGCTCCAGCTCCTAGTCCCTAATCTCAGTTTTCTGAGCTGATAATTCTCACATGGCTTTTGGCCTAAAGGTAAGACTAATGAATTACCTATCTTAATACTCTCGCTTTTCACTATCACTAAAGAAAAGGACACCAATTTAGATCTGTGTTGTTTTCTTATGTGCTGAATAATGTGATCCTTATAAAGCTAACCTATCAACTTCTCATGGTCAAAGACAAATTTATCCTCAAAGCCATGCGAACATGGAAGGACCAAGAATTAACACTGAACTATTATCCATATGCACTAAATGATGGTTTCACAATGAGTATATCTCCAGTAGTTCCATACCAACATTAGACATGATATTGCAAATGATAAACACACCTATGCAACAACTATTATTTGCCCTGGACAATCAACTGGATACCTGTGTGTTTAGTTTTCTCTTTTAAGTGAATAAAGAATAGGGACTTTTCTGCTACTTGACCAATTCATACCACAGTCTACTTCTATACTAGATGAAAACTAAAAATAATCTTATGCAAGCTTTTCTTTCCACTCCATAATCTAGTTTTTATTAAACAACATATGTAATATGTTCACAAGACTTTTTTTAAAGCAGACACTGTGTTAAATATTGCACATCGTTCCTGTCAAATTTTTTACTTGCAGAATTCTTGAGTTGAAAAATGTGGGAATTATGCCAAAAATACCCATCACACAATAGCAGCTTTCCTGCACCTCCAGATGGAATGGGGAAGGGCTGGGATGTCCTGGTGCTTTTGCATCAAGTGCCACACTCCTGGTCGTGTTGCTTCAGTGCCCCACTTCCTCAATGCATATACTTCCTGCTCAACACTGACAGCAACTTAGGCCAGATTCCCAAGCTGCACCCAGATACATCAAGTTAGAAATATACCAATTCAAGGAGCAAATTTCAAGAAAGACTTTTAGGCAAGATATTGGGAGTAGTTAAAAAAGGCCTATGCACAGCTGGTATGCTCTAGAAGCTTGCAATCTGGTTTAAATTGAAGGCGAGTTCATAAGAAATTCAATTAAAAGTCCTCACCAAAATCAGCACTGGGAATCTTACCATTGTCATGGAACATGAGGAATTATGAGCTGTGCATTGCTGTCCTCTCCATTGACTTGGCCTCAGCATCACACGCCACTGACTTCTCCCAACCAACACATGGTATCATGTGTGAACTTATTCAGGCAGAGCCACCTAGAAGATGGCCTTCCTAGTTCATTAAGGTGAAGAAAAAGGTGAAAAAATTGTAGTTCAATAATAATTTGCAGAGTGGCTGTAATGCCTAACTCTGGAGATGCTATTTGTGTAGGAATGGGTTGGCAGACTGAAGCTGGTAAAAAGCTAAGGCAAACTTCTAAAGACAGATTGCTACTTCTGGAGAGATAAAAATACATGAGGCCAACAAGACTTACTGTCCTAAACCTGGGTACTGTATTAATTTGTGGCTTTTTTCATAATTACTTGGGGCACACATCAGAGGTCTTACTTTACAGACAACCAATGAGAACAGCCTTAACCCTGTGACTGAAGAGTTAAATGACCTCTTACTAGTTTTCATTATCCCATATTTTATAAGTGGGCTCAACAGTACACAGAGCTTCAAACTCCAAAATGTGATGATTCAGGTGTAAGTGTTTCTTCATTTATTTAGAAGTATTAGTACGGGCATGGGGAGACCAGTGATTCAAGTTTAGCCAATACTAAACTTGTTCAGAGGTCTTCATTAACCAAAAAAAAGAGCTGTATTTAGCAGCATATTTTCAGGGGTAGTAAATAASTAAATAAATTTTTCTATGCCAAACAGATCCATTTTTTCCCCTCATTATCTCTTCTTAATACTCAGCATCAAGTCAGTTCCTTAGGAGAAAATGGAAACAAAAATSTAGCAAGTAAGCAGGATGTGATGGCACATGCTTATAAACCAAGTGATTTGGGAGGCTGAGAYGAGCCTGGGTAATTTAGTGAGACCCTGTTTCAAAATCAATAAAATGGGCTGGGAATGTAGCTCAGGGGTGAAACACTCCTGGGTTCTATCCCCAGTTTATTTTGTTCTATCCCAACAAAATAAAACAAAAAACAAAAAAGTCAAAACCAAACCAAAACCAAAACAAAAAAACAACAATCCAGGGAGTAATGATTCTAAAGAGACAAAAGAATAAGGAATTAACCTCTTTGAAAAAATTAATATTCCAATTCTGAAAAAATAGGGTATGTAATTTGGATTATATTTGCCAAACTTTTTGCATGGATAGTAGTTTTTGAGAACAAGATTGAGTTTTAGAAGCCATTGTTCTAAAATAGTATTCCTAAGATCTTGCGCCCAAAGCAAATAGTTAACATATTTGTTGACCTCATAACTATCAGATAGTTACTAGTATGAAATAATGTCACCTTTAGAATGGAAATGGAAGGGGACTGAAACTTTAGAGAGCAGTATGACAGATATAAGATAAAAGGTATAGGAAAACAAGAAAAAACTATGTAGATGGGTGAAAAAGAAAATTCTGTAGCAATAGAGAAGAATATTTTGGTGCCAATACCATGCTGTTTTTGTTACTATTGCTCTGTAGTAGTTTAAGGTCTGGTATTGTGATGCCTCCTGCTTCACTTTTCTTGCTAAGGATTGCTTTGACTATTCTGGGTCTCTTATATTTCCAAATGAATTTCATGATTGCTTTTTCAAGTTCTACAAAGAATGACATTGGGCTTTTAATAGGAATTGCATTGAATCTATATAACAGTTTTGATAGTATGGCCATTTTGACAATATGAACTCTGCCTATCTAAGAACATGCAAGATCTTTCCATCTTCTAAGGTCTTCTTCAATTTCCTTAGTTTTGTTTTTTAATTCTGTAGTTTTCGTTGTAGAGGTCTTTCACTTCTTCTGAATTCCAAGTATTTTGAACACGTGGCCACACTGTTATTACAAAAGCAACCCTGGGCTCTTGTATGAGCTAGCATGCTTCAGTGCAGATTATAATTTTGCATAATTCATGCCCAGGTGATTCCATGACTTGCTCCTTACTCCTTTTGAGTTTGCTAGTATCTCAAGGACTCTCTGTGTAATATTATTATTATTATTATTATTATTTACTTTTCCTATCTTTCTTGACTGTTCTGTTTCCTTAATATTCAAAGTTCAGGATATAAGCACCCATTATTATTAGTTACCCTCTTAAAAAACATTGTTCATAAATTTTAATTTCTAAGGCTTTTCAGAAACATCTTGATACTTTTTATTTTAGCTTGCAAAAATAAAATCATCTTCTCTAAAACTGTTTCTTCTTACCTAATTTTTATTTTTCCCTCTAAGAATTTCTTCTATTCCTTTCCAACATGCTAATGTAAGTTTCTACAGACTCAAATATACAATGGAAAGGGTAACACTTACCACATTAATAGGAGGTCTTTTGAAGTAAAATGGTAGTTTCTCTGTTACAGTTATGCAGACTAAATCCACATCTAAATGCGTGCAAGCAACCTATTAAGAAGAAAAAACAAGTAAGGCAAAATGAAAAATGTGTACAAGTAAAAACAAGATATGGTCAGACCTGAATAAAGAGAAACATGGATAGGTATGGATCCCTCTATGCTTGTTATTGTGGTTTGTGTTGAAATACATCTGACCCATTACAAAGCCGATTGTTTAGCCATTCCCTCAGGTTTGGTTTGAATGGTTTAACTGTGATCCAGCTGAAGCTGAGAGACATGTCTATAGACGTTCCTCAAAAGACAAGACCTGGGGACCGTCTAATTCAGATGGTCTTCTACAATGGGATTGTTTATTGAGGCTCAATATCTAAGGAATTACTTCAGATTATTCCAGAAAGAAGAAATTGTTTTGAAATCTAAGGAAGCAGTAAGTCAAAAGGAATGTATGCATGGTACATTTGTTCCACAAACTATTTATTGAGGAATTGTCCTTTTTATCAGGAATTGTCCCAAGCCTATCGCTCCATTCTGTCTATTTAGTGGCTAAAGAAACATAACATGGAACTACTGATAGCATTTTGTTCAAATAATAGAAACAGTTGATATAAATGGTAGAAGCAGAGCTGTTGCAAATCAAATAACAATGAATGTATTTTTGAACTTTTAATTTCCCTTTCATTTGATCTAATTTTTGATATTATTGATTAATAGTCTGCATTTTCTTCTAAAATAAAAACATCATACTAAATTAAAAACTAAGCAGATAAAGAAATCAGAATAAGTGGAAAATCAGGGAAGGAAAGAAAAGCTGGGCAACAGAGCTGCTTGGATAGAATGCAAGCCAGAGCATACTGCTCAAAGATTCCTATCTGGCTTTGATTTTTGCCATTACTTGATTTATAGAGATAAAAAGAATTGTTGTCTTGCACTGTATTAAAAATAATCCCTGTTGACAGTGCCAATGTGTACAGGATGATGAACAAATTTAAACAGCCTGCGTAGTTATGTTAGCAAACCAATATCAGTGGCACACACCAGGAAAAATGGTGAAGTATGGAAGGGGGGTCAAGAGAGGGTAGTAATCCACTACAGGATTGGTACCAACCTTCATCATTGACAGGGATAGCACATATTGTCCTTCATCAGAATTCCCACTGTGGTCACTCCTACCTCCACCCAAGGGCTTTAGGAAGCAAGTAATGATCAGAGGCTGCCTGGCTCTAAGACGGTCATGGTAACTTAGTAAGCCTGGGAAGCAATGCTGTTTTGGCAGAAATACTTGGCTCATAAATAATCTGCCCCATCCCTACTGCTCCAGCTGTCCAACTCATAAAAGAGTCATTGAAAATTTAGGAATAGATGAAGAAAAGCTCTGAATAATAACTAAAACAAGTTCAAGTTATAGTCATCATTTTCTAACTACCAGACTGGTAAAGATCAAAAAGTTCAATAATACAGTGCTGATATGAGAATGAATAAACAGGCACACACAGGGTTTTTTGTTGTTGTTGTTTTTAATTTTTTTAATATTTACTTTTTTAGTTTTCGGCGGACACAACACCTTTGTTTGTATGTGGTGCTGAGGATCAAACCCGGGCTGCACGCATGCCAGGCAAGTGTGCTACCGCTTAAGCCACATCCCCAGCCCACATACAGGGTTTTAAACAAGTAAAAGGTCTTGAAAAGCAATTTAGCAATAGCTATCAAAATTTTAAATCATACACTAGCAATTTCACTTAGAGGAATATACTCCATAGGACTCCTGAAACAYATTCTGTCCTTAGTCTATACAAAGACTAAGGACAATAGTGCAAGGATAGTCATTGCAACATCAATCACAAAAGACTAGACACAATTAAACATCCCTCAGTTTTACTTAAATATTTATGATCCCTTTATATGATAGAATATACCAACTTCTTATAGAGGAAAAAAGTTCTTCTCTAATTGATTTTATGGAACAATCTCCAAGATTACATGGTAAGGTGAAAAAAGCAAGGCATCAGATGGGAAGGAAAGGAGACAGAGGGGAGAATGAAGGGAAGGACAAGGTAAATAATATTTTGAAAAGATACATAAGAATCTCAGTAATAGACACTCTCCTCAAAATAAAGCTAGATTAGGTTACTTTTTCTTATGTATTGCTCCTTTCTTCCCCCTTTCCTATAGAAGTGGCTGATTAAACAATGAATTTGTATTTAAGTAATCCATTATAAGAAACTTTTCATTTCAAAGGACAGCTCCATTTGGCTCCTTCTGACATGGAGAACTTAAAATGCCCCAAACTGAGTTCTTCTGTTATTTAGCTTTCTATTAACCCAAAGTTTAACTGGTACATTTAAAGAGCCATAAAATTAAATGTTAATATTCAGACTATAATGAAATGCTTTCTAAATCATTAAAAAGATGAAATTCAATATAATTTTGGGATTAAGAATCTTCTAATAGCTTTCTCTGAAAAATGATAGATTACATATGAATTCATATTAGTTAGCCATATACATATATGTGAAATGTGTGTGTGTGTATATGTATATATACACATACATATACATTTTGTGTGTTTGTGCACACATGCACGTGCACCAGGGACTCCTACAACAAAGAAAACATATTTCCATAAAAATACATACATCTTTGCCTTTATGACACAAAGGGAATAGGAGGGTAGGGGTTCATAGTGCATTGTAGCCCCTAAACTTCTTTCATGGATGTTGGGGTAATAAACTTTGGAATTTTTGATTAACAGTATACCAGGGAGAGTCAGGCTTACAAAGGAAAAGAGATGATCATGAACAGTGGTTCTCAATGTTAGATGTCACAAAACTCCCCTTAAAAAATGTACTAAAAGTGGAGACTACCAGGCCCCATCTCCCATGATTCATTCAATAAGTTGAGCCTAACGATATGCATTTTAACAAATATCACAGGAAAATCTGAAGCTAGAAGACCATATCCTGAGAAAATGGCCTTGAATGCTACTCTATAACAGTGCCCTGCAAAGAGAAGGCATAGATTTGAGGAGCAGAGAAAAAACCAGTAGTTCTATTTTCATTTATTTCTTAATTCACTTTCCTAAAATTTGTTTTATATGTATATTTTGCAAAGCACACTGGCATAATGGAACATGAAAATAACTTTCAAGAAACAGACACATACTGGAAAAGTAGGCTCAATATTTCTTTAAACTGATAGGGTACCTAATCTAAGCAGTTCAGAGTTTACTGGAGTAAATAACCTGAATTTTCCTCTATCCTGCTCAGTTACTTTAATCTTAAATGGGAATAAATGACTTGGAAGCTCCTAAACGTACTAAGCAACTCTCTGTCTCTCTGTAATATTCCATGGTTGTCCCTGATCCCAAGGAAGCATGGCCAGTAGACCCACTCTCTGTGATGATCTTTAATCTTTGCCTTATCCCCTGGAGAAGCTAAGGGAACAGAGTTTCTTTTTTATGAGACATCTTCCATGCTGTGGAAAACATTATGCCATTTCCTGTGGAAATGATGCTATTTAAAGTGTTTAGATTTTATACCAGAAAATATTGATGTATACGTGTACTTGTATATATACATTTTTATTTATTTTTAATTACTTAATAAGTAATTACTTATTAAATGTACATATACAAGTACACGTATACATCAATACTTTCTGGTATAAAATCTAAACACTTTATGACTCATTTTAGAGACCTAACTTTTAGAATATCAAACCTATATGAATATCCGTTAAAATTCTGGGTAATAAACTTGCAAACAAAACAAATCACTTATGGAAAGCAACCTATCGAACAACATACTGCTTGCACCTGACCTGACTATAAACCATGAAATACTTAACAAAACCTTTATAATGAGAAGGAAGATATCTTTTTAAATTATTTTCTCCAGGAAATAGGAAGAATTCTAACTTCAACTGAAGAATGGGTATGATTTATATGGAGATATTCCAATTTTAAAAACTGTTCTCATGTAACTTTTGGAATATCAGTCAATTCCAAACAATTACTGTGTGAATTTTTTTATATTTTATATATATCTTCCATTTCCAAAATATTTCTGACTGTTCCATCCACAACCCTCAAGCATGTTTTTAGCAAGTTCAAATTTGAATAGTCTGAGAAAAAAAAGTAATAAGATAAATGAATAAGTTAAAACTGTCATATATACTTATAATCTAAAATCTAAGTCCTACCTCTATTCACATACTTGCTGGGGTATTTATAGCAAATCATTTAGCTTAAGTCTCAGTTTTCACTTCTATAAAAAGGGGATAGTAGTAAATACTCAGCCTAGTTATCCTGAGATTGCTGCATAAGTTAAAAAAATAAACACATAAAAGTCTTTGGAAGGTTCTATAAGTACATTTTTTCTAGCCAAAATGTTACTTATTTTGTTTCCCTAATCACTAGTAAAGGGTCATGGAAACATAAATTATATGATCTTCAAAATTAATTCAGAAATCAATTATAAAACAAAAAACATGGTATATGATCAACTTTTTAGTCTATGCCATGGCTGAGTTACTACTTAATAACAAAACTAAGTTGCAGTTGCTTAAAATTTTGCAAAGTCCATGGTCCTTTTTATACAGTGATTTCAGCAATGAATCAGACTTTACTTGTGGAACCTGAAAAATCAGATATCCAGACTCAACTGTAAACCTACTGGTAAGGATGAAACATGACTGATTTAAAACTTCCATAGAGGTCTTTGATGTCTAAAAACTACTCTACTCATCCCTTTAACTGAAACAAGTTACTATACTATAATTTTGCATTTTATAAAGATGCTAGCAAAAGAGAATAGGTATCTATGGATAAGTTTTGGTGTTTCCTTCCATTTATATAATTAAGAATTCATAGTGTTCCTTAAAAACTAAACCTATCACATATCAGACTCTAGTCAATAGCTCCATCTACTAGATAAAGTTAAGACAAAAAACAACAACAACAAAATTACAATTTTAGAACAAATTTGGCTTAAAAAAGGACAGAGGTAAAATTAAAACATCTAAGACCAGCATTTTTTTTTTCCTGTTATATCCTTTGGCAGATATACCTCTGTCAGATGGATCCTTTTTTGAGCATAGATAAAGATAACTTTCAAAACTTTCTAAAAATAGTTATACCTCATTTTACACATTGAAACATATTCCTGAAAAACTGCATTACAGTTGATTTTTTTTCCTTTACTATAATAATTGAAAACGCCCAGGGTCATCAATCTCAAGTTGACAAAATGAGTACACGTTAAGCTCCTTTCTTTCCTGCAAAGGTACCAAAATGGCAATTTTAAAAGTCAAAAGGAATTCAATTCATAAAGGCTGTCAGAATAGCAAAAGAAATCATATTAGCAGATGATAGATTATGAAGAATTTCTGGAAGACTAAAGGCTGACAATCATACTGGCATATGGGCAGTACCTCAGAGCATGCAAAGGTGGAAGCTGAAACAGAGGGTGAAGCTTTCATGTCCTTTTCTTCCATTTTAGGCAACAGTTGAATAAGAAGGGCAGAAACTCAAGTGATTTTAGAGCTAGAAGGTGACGGACCAATACTTATCCAAGAGAAGTTTTGAATGAATGTAGCAAAAAGAAAGAAACAGGAGAGTCAGTCATGATGTCACATGCCTGTAATCCCAGCAACGGGGGAGGCTGAGGCAGGAGGATCTCAAGTTCAAGGCAAGCATCAGCAATTTAGAGAGGCCCTAAGCAACTTGGTGAGACTTCGTCTCAAAATAAAAAATAAAAAGGGCTTGGAATGTGGCTCAGGGATTAAGTGCCCCTGGGTTCAATCCCTGGTACCAAAAAAAAAAAAAAAAAAGAAAGAAAGAAAAAAATCAACAGGGAAAAACTTGATGGGCTCTTCAAACTGAGCCCATAAACTGTCTAGATAGATAAAACAACACACAAAACAAAAAAACCACACATCCCCTCAAATATAACTCTGTGAAATTCTAGAGCTCAACTGTAAATGAAAAATCCTAACAGTTTTCAGATGGGATAAAACATGTCATYTGCAAAGGCATATATCAAATTTGTTAAATGGAATTAGCTTTTTTTTACTTAATTGTTACTTACATGAAATAATTTTTCTGTCTTTGGAAAAACTGCAACAATATCATACAGCCGGACTCTTGAAGAAGTAGCCCTCTAGTGACAGAAGAAGAATGTTATTAATACAGTAACAAAAAATATACATACATGGAATTCTGCACAGTGATCTAGCTACACTTACATTTCAATCACATAACACTTCTAATGTGTTACTGATTTTTCTGTTTTGCTTTGTATGTTGGCAGAAAAGCACATGAGAATTAGGTACTAACACCTAACCCACTAATCATCCTCCTCCTTCTTATACTTGTTATGCTTTAAATGTACACCAGTTAAACTGCTCTGGACATTTGGTTTATTAAAGATGAATCTAAACCATAACTCTAATCTTTAAGTTATCTAAACCAATGGAATGACAAGTTATTAATATTCAAAATAAGGCACGGCAATGCTAAATTGTGGTCTTCCCTATCTGTAGACCAAACATTGTGTCTGACATACAGCACTGTATCCACTATTTGATCTTACAATCTAGTGAATGAGCTTGCCAGACATTCACTGAGCACCTACTATGTGGATACAAAATCACTAGGACATAAATCTGTCCTCAATGGAATTCACCTTTTTTTTTTTCAAGACAAAAAATATACAAGACTAAGTTCATGTGTACTATGCAATGTATGTGATACAAAAAGAATAGCATCAAAAAAAATATAAATACAAATAAACACCTGAGAGTCCTAGGACAGGAGAATACATCAGTAAAGACAGCATTATTGTTTATAAAAGAAAGTCTCAAACCTATAATGTATGTATCTAAACGTGAAAAGATTGGAAAATATATATTCAAATGTACACTCTCTGAATGCTAGGATAAAGTGTGATAGCTCTTCTTTTTATGTTGGTACCTTTTAAATTTTTACAACCTCTTCTTCATGAAAAGGCAAAGCATAATACAAGTTAGACCAAAGTTTAAGAGAAGCAGCCAATGCCTTGCTTAAGCAGGTAAGAGGGCATACTGGACAAACTTGGGCTAAGACAGGGCAGGTTAAAGGCTCTGGAAAAAGCTAGGATCCAGGATTCTCTTCTCCACTTGCCCATTTCCACTTGGGATGGGGGACAAAAAGGAGCCACTAGGATGTTCATGATAACAAGAGTAAATCAAAGTCTTCCCATCCTATCAAAAGTCAGTTCTATTTATTTCCATCTGGACTTAGAGAACCAAAATGTTACCTTATAACTGTATAAAATATCAAAACAGGGCTTCTCACAAGTTCTTTTGTCAAGTGTTATAAAGTGAGTCGGTCTGCCCTTCATCATTCCTGTTCCACCATGTTCTTGCTAAGATAAAACAGCTCACCTTCTCAGGGATTCATTTTCTCTCTCTCACACGTGATGATCTTTCTTATCACATGAATCTCTCCCATTAACAAAATCTCTCTCTCTCTCTCTMTMTMTATATATATATATATATAKATAGATAGATAGATAGATAGATAGATAGATAGATAGATATCTCCACCAATTACCCTATGCTTTCTGTTCTCCTAAGAGGTCAAATTCCTATGCAAAGTCAGCAGCACACACTATTTGTATTTTCCTCTATCTCAATCATATTGATGGAAATGGTTTCTGCTAAGGCTGCCAATGACTTTCTCATGAATAAATCCAACTGACTTTTTTTAAGCCCTTCTCCTGCTTGACTACTCTGATATATCGATGCTACCTAATCACCTTTTGTTCCTACTTTCCATTTTCTTTCCTCATTGCTTCCTACTTCTAGGGTAGTTCCTTTTCTGACTTCAATCTTGGCTCATCCTCTGTTTTACTATTAAATGGTGAAGTTCCTCAGGACTGTTTTAGATCTCTTCTTCCCATATCACACTCTTAGCAGGGAATCTCAATCCTCCCTCCTTCGTGCCTCTCAAATTCCCCCCTCCTTTTACTTCCTCTAATATATTCTCTGTAAAGCAAACCCCATAATCTTGTTCCCTTGATTAAAGGCTTCAAGGACTTCCCACTATTGGAATCCTCACCTAAGCCTCCCTGCCTGTTTGCATTGTACCTCCCTGTCTCCTGTTAGGAGGTAGCCAGCTCACATGGCTCAGTCCTTCAGGTCTTTTCTCACTTCCTACAACACAGTTTTCCTTTGTTTTAGGGCGTTTGTATGCTGTCTGCAGAAACACTCTTTCTTGCTTGGCACCTAGGTAACCCTTACTGATTTTTCTGGCCTCAGTTTGAATAAGTTATTAAGGTTATACACTCCCAGAGCATCCTTTATTTGCCACTTCCCCTTTAAAGGTATTCCTCACGTCTGAAATAATTAATTGTTCAGTGCTTGTCTTATCAATTAAACTTATAAGCTTTATAAGTTCAAGGACCATGTCTGTATTATTCACAGCAACATTCCCAGCAACTACTTTATATCTGGTTCATATGATGAGTTCAATGACTAATAGTTGACATGGAATTCTTAATTGTGTTATCTTTACACATTCACCACAAGTAACATATAACATGTTATACTGTGTGAATTCTAAGAATAAGGAAAGCAAGTAAGTGTCATGAATGTGGTGGGGAGATGTAAAAATGGGGTGAGATGAAATGCAACAATGTTTAACATTCAATACAGGTTACAAGGCCAAAAGAAAAGGAAAAAATAATTAACTTACCAAAACATTGCAGTGAGAAGGATCAGTAACTATAATTGTCAATCTCGTTAAAATTTTAATTGGTCTTGATTTTCCCTATAAATAAAAATATCAAAAGCATAAAAATAAAATTGATTTTCCTCTTTACCAGTGGAAAGAACTCATTAAAAGGGACTAGCTATAAGGAATAGAAAAGATCAATAAAGCCTAGTTCTCTGAGTTTATATTAAGAAAGATAAAAATATGATGTATGCATATCTATATAATGAGATAATTTAAAAGTTGTAGGACTTTAGGAAGGAAGATTAACGAAAAAAGAAGTATCAAATTAATAGTAAGAGATTATTCCAGGATATTATACTTCTTAAACAACAAAAAAACCTACCTGTACAATTGGGAAAGTTGGGAAGAGGTCAGAAATAGCTATGGGTTTCTCAATTTCCTACAACAAATCACAAACAGTCATCTTAGATTGTACATGTTAAAGGTACAATGCAAAATGGAAAACTTGACATGGGGTTCACATACATTGTTTTAAAGAAAGAAAGCCAATTTCTTGTATTTAGGAGGCTACATAACCTCTTTTTTTTTTTTTAAGGAAGGAAACAAAAGATCAGAGAAGCAGCTAAGAACAGCAGTGAATAAAAGGGACAAAAACTAATTTTTAGACAGAAGTAATCTATAAGATAAAGTTGTTGGCCTAAAGAGAAATATACATATTTACTAATGTGCTTAAGAATTTAAGACAGTAAAAGATAAAATATTGTAATTACAGTTCAGTTGATAACAATGCACTTTTAAACATTATTGACAGTGACTTAAATAACATCAAATCAACTTTCTGTACTTATACCATGCCAAAATACTTCACAAAAATCTCAATCATTTTGTACAAATAAACATCAGCTCAATTGTTAACATAAAATAATAGTACACAAAGACAGTACATTTAAGACAAATGCTTAACTGCAGCTTCCATGTTTCTAGTATGAACACAAATAATATCTCCAAACTTACTAACTTCAGAAATCTTATTTTACCTGTTTTTTTTCCTTAAAGTCAACAACATGATTGATGGCAACAACTGAATATCCAACTGAAAAGAAAAACAGAAATACTTAAGTATTTTCTTTCCTATACATACAGGCCCATTCTGGTTCTATGTCAAGACTAGGAGTGCTCCTAAACACTTTTCTGGGATCCAACTTGTTCACAAAGAAGTTGGTTTCTTCTGTGGGCAGGTCCATGTTATAGGTGATGGGTTTATACATGCTGAACTACTGCTGGAAGGTAGAAATGGAAGAGAGGGTCACAATTTAAAAGCATAATGCCATTCATTGTGCTCTTTAAGAAGGTATGGGGGTTGAGAGCTGAGGACAAAAGAGAAGAGAATATAGGTTGAGTATCCCTAATCTAAAATCTGAAACTTTTTGATTGTTGGTAAAGCTTATGCAAATATCTCAAAATCTGAAAACCTCTCAAATTGAAAACACTCTGGTTACAAGCATTTTTGATGAGGGATTCTCAACTTGTATAAGTTTTCATGAAAAACTGCCTTAACATCTATTAGCTCTTCATTTATGCAACGCAAACATGTGGTCAGACACACAGGTTTGAATCTCAGTACTGGGAAATAAAAAAAGAACAAAGGAAAAGAAAAGGAGGCAGTTTAGCAAAGCAGTTATGGTAGGAACTTTGTCTCCTTTCAAATCTAAGCTGTCTCTTTTCAAATCTAAGCACTACCTCTTATAAGTTACTTAATTGTAGTTTTGGTTCTTCATCTGTCAAACAGTGATAATAACAGCACTCATTTCATATGCTTATCATAAGAATTAAATGAGATAATATACACAAAGTATTTCATAATAGTGCTAGTCACATAGTCAGGGCTTTCACTACTGTGACGTATTGGTGGCATGATACTAAAGCCTTTTAACTTTGTGCTGTTTCTAATCAATACTCTCTTTCATGTCCCTATGTTCATTTTCATCACACCAAGTTAACACCTTTCACTATTATCTTTACTATTATTCATTTATTTTGCTTTTCACCCTATTTCCTCCCTCTCCTAAGGACAGATGGGAGTGATGACTCCATCACACCACCACCCACTTCTCCTTTTCAGCTGCCTACCATCAGCAGATTGGGAATTCTTTGAGGCCAGCAGCTTGCTTTACCTTCCTCCTCACAGTTAACATTGCTCTGGATATTTGGTCTACTTAAGATGCATCTAAATCATAACTCTAATCTTTAAGTTATCTAAACCAATGGGATGACAGTTATTAATATTCAAAATAATGCACATCGATGCCAAATTGTGGTCTTCCCTGTCATCAGTTTGTCTAACTTCCTTCTTTCCTTCCTCCTTCACGTATTTATGGAGCCTTCACTACTTGACAGGCCCTAAGCCAAGCACTGAGCACACAAGGTAAATAAAACAGTTCTCATCCTATGTTTCATTGGAGAATTAAGGCAATTAAACAAGTCATCATATGTAAATAATTTTTTGTTGTCATTAAGGAAAGGTTCTACGGAAAACCCAGCAGAATGAAACATGACTGCAGGATGGGGGCAGAAAAGAGCCCCTGGAGAAAGCAATATTTAAAAACAAAAGAGCAATATTCCTATACTTTGGTCTTTGCTTTTCACCCAGTCAAATCAACCAACCATACTTCCTTCCCATTCTTCTTTACCACTCCCAAGTCTATGCTAAAATTTTTTTTATACCATTTAGGATATCATTTGTTTACTAAACAATGTCCTTGTTTTTCAGAAATGTCAAAAAGACTGTTTTCCCACACAACTTTCTCCTAGAGTACTCTTCATCTGGCATCTTAGGAGTAATCCCCCAATCAGTCTTTGGCGTATTTTCTTAAATTCATATATCATATATCTGAAGCTTATCACTGGTTTCTTATATAACATCATAAACTAAAAATGGGGGCTTTGTCTTCTTTAGTGTATAAAAATTTCCACAGACTAAAAAGTAGTCTTTTGCCTTTTGACTCATAAGTTTTTCCAGGTATCAGGAATTGAACCCAGGGCCAACCCTTTTTAATTTGAGACAGGGTCTCACTAAGTTGCTGAGGCTGGCTTTGAACTTGCTATCCTCCAGCCTCASCCTCCTGAGCCACTGGGATTACAGGCATGCACCACTGCATCCAGCCTTTCATTTCATTTTAAAATAAACTACTATTATATGAGGGATCTAGAAATTTAAAAAGGGGATCCTAAGAAGATAGAAGGGAGAACAGTGGAGTCAAGGAAGGAGATCAAAAGGGAGAAAGGAGGGATTAGAAAAGGGAGGAAATGTGCACATATGAATATATCATGATGAACTCCACTTTTATGAATAAGTATAATGGCACCAAAAAAAAAAGAGAGAAACATTAAATAAATAGAAGGAAGACCAACAGAGTACAGGAAGTATATCAGGGGAGGAAAAAGGAAGGAAAAGAGGAAGTACTTAGGATTAAAATGGAGCAAATTATATTTTATGCATTTATAATGATGTCAAAATAAACCCCACTATAATATATAAGACAATAATAAAAACATTAAAAATAAAAAAGAATTAGAGAATGACTAATACTGCACATAAATGACATGTCTTTCAAGCATATTTTAAACTGGGTGATTCTCTAAAGAAATCATTATAATGTTTCTTTTCTGTGTGTATTTTTAAAAAAGATGTTCAGTTTGCTTACTCCACTCATTAACTGAGTAACTGTCATGTTTCACTACCTGCTGATTGACTATATTGGGAATAAGGTAATAGAAGAATACATGGTCCATTTCTAAAGAAGCTTATGTATTCATTAAGGGGACAACATTAGGAAAAGCTTCATTGAGAAGGTAATACTTGAAGTTACGTCCAGGAAAATTTATTTTATAGAAACTGCTAAAAAAAATATTAGTGCTAAATGGTTCCAGGAATTATGTCTACCCTCTTCATTCTACTGATGAGCAAAGCACAGAGAGGAAATGTTAATTAATAGCTGCAATTGAAAGAGTCCTTTTTCTGTGGATACAGTTGAATCTTTGGATTCAACCAACCATGGTCAGAAAATATTTTTCAGGGGGTGGTGGGGTGGGATAGGTAATGGGCTGCGACTGTACTATGCAGACTTTTCCCCCTTATAATTGTGTCCTAATCAATGCATATACCAACTATTTACCCAGCATTTGCATCATATTAATTATTATAAGCAATCTAAAGATGACTTACACTACACAGGAGGATTGTGATGGTTTCTAGCTTCACTTCTGAGAAATAGCAATAATCAGCTTTCACAAGGACCTGAGACTGTTCTCTTAGGAATGGATGTTATTGCACCAACCTCTTTATTCTTTGATCTCCTCTATACCCATACTTTACAGTCTGAGAGAGATAAAACCCGTGACAAACTATAATAATTAAAACACAGTCTCATTTCTTAGGCTTTAGCTTCCCTTTGACTCAAACATGAAAAACATTGACATTCTAACCACGTTGCCCATTCTCTCCTGTCAGGTATGTCCTGTGCCCAATCTACCATCCCTCTTAAGTATTACTGTTCCAAATTTTAAAAACTCCTATGTCCTCCCCATTCTCTGACTCTCCACACTCCCTGACTGTGGCCCAGTCTCCAGAATTTGCTTAGACCCTTTACTGAGAGTCAGAAAGGACTAATTAAAAGCACTGGTTCAGGGGACTGGACATTAGGAGTCCAGCCCTGGCATCTGCCACACATCAGCTATGGGACCCTACGAAAACTCCTCGCCCTCCTCTAGAATCTTTTTGAGTTTCCCACAACCAGGGATTAGGGCAACAGCATCAGCTTCTAGTGACATCCCAGAGGCCCCGGGAGATCTGAACGAGAACTGGCTGAACTATCCAGCGAGGGGTAGGCACTGCGACCCGCGAGGCCAGGGAGACTCACGATGAGCGGCAGTCTCCACGAGTCCGCGCAGAGCCTTCAGGTCGGAACCCGCTCTTATATCCAAATCTGCAAACACCGCCATGCTGAAGTTCCGTGAGCGCCCGAGCGCGCTTCTGCGCAGCCGCCGGCCTGCCCCGGGGCATGCTGGGAGTTGTGGTTTACTGGCATGGCCCGCCCCTCTCTCGGAATGACTACTTCCGGGATGCGCTGACACTTTCTTTGCTTTCAAGCGCCAGAAAGATTAGCGTGTTCAAATCAACAGCCTCACTTCAGTCCCTCTTTGTCTTGTGAGTGAGAATGTTTGGTTCCTTCTGGAGGGGTTCAAATCTCCCAACATCCCTCTTACCATGTAGAAAGTGGGTTATTCAAAATGCACCCGTACGGCAGCGATTGGGCATTTACCACGAACAAGACATTTGCTCCGTGTAAAGAGTAGTAATCCAGTTTTCTTTCCTTTCTCCAAAGTCCATTGCGTTATAAAATAGAATTTTAAGTTTAAGATAGACTTAACGGGAAGGTGTGTGTGTGTGTGTGTGTGTGTGTGAGAGAGAGAGAGACAGACAGACAGACAGACAGACAGACAGACACAAGCTCTAAGACTCCAAAAGAGGACTGCCTGAAAGAAGTATTTTTGCAGTCAGAACTGGTGCGCGCTTCTCTGTTACACCTAACAGCTTCCACCASGAGATGGCAGGGCTCTCCCTAGGATGAGCCTTGAACGCCAAAGTTGGCCTAGCCAGACAAGTTTGTTAGTCACAAAACCGAAATGTTTTTACAGTTTTCCATCTGAAAAAATATACAAGGTATATACCACACACTCGATGCTTCCACTTTTCTGAATTTTGTGTAAATTGAAAATTGAAGATTGGTAGATCAGTTATCCGACAACATAAAATTGTGAAACTACTGTATAATTTACTGTCAGTGCTTCCCAGACTATCTGCAACAAAGGACCAGTCTCCTCCTCTCTCACCTGCCAGCATGTGGTCTCTTATGCATTACCAGTAAGCAGGTCCAACCCTTTGAGACTCCTCAATGTGACATCATCCGAACTGTCCCCGAACCAGCTGAAATAAGAGTAGCCAGCTTCTATAGTGGGACGATGTATCAATGCTATTTCTAAACATTTTCACTTTCTGCATTTACTGATCACAAACAGTACACAAGAAGTCTTCCTCTTGTGGACCACATGTTGAGGTAGTACTCCTTTACTTATTGGTCTCAATTGGTTTTCTTATTGATTACAGAAGAGAGTGTGAAGAGGAATCTGTTCCTGTGGAAGCAATTTTTTCCTCTTGAATGACTTTTGTAAAGAAGTAGTATTTTGTCTTGTTCAATACTTGATATTTCCTAAATAAAAATATTAATTGCACAAATGAAACAAGGTCAAAAGATAAACACATTGCTTTTTATTTTTAAAAATGTTGATTTTTGTGGGAGTACACAGGCATTTTCACATATGACCAAATCTAGACAAATACCAGACCTTAAATTATATTACAGAGAGCAATAGTAACAAATACTACAGAACAATAGTAACAAAAACAGCATGATATTGGCATCAAAATAGAWATGGTAGACCAATCGTACAGAGTAGAGAACACAGAGACTAACCCATATAACTACAGTTGTCTTATATTAGAGAAAGGCACCAAAAACATACATTGGAGAAAAGATAGCCTCTTCAACAAATGGTGCTGGGAAAACTAGAAATCATATGCAACAAAATGAAATTAAGCTCCTATCTCTCACCATGCACAAAATTTAACTCAAAGAGGATCAAAGACCTAAGAATTAAACCAGAGACACTGTTCCTATTAGAAGAAAAAGTAGGACCAAATCTCCATCATGTCAGATTAGGCCCCAACTCAATAAGACTCCCATAGCACAAGAATTAAAATCAAGAGTCAATAAATGGGATGGATACAAACTAAGAACTAAGAAGGTGGATTTTTTCTTTCTTCTTTTTCTTTTTCTTTCTTTCTTTTTTTGTATTCAAAGTAACCTTTGATCCCCTCCCATTCTCTCTAAAGACCTTGCTTTCTTGGACTGACCTATAGATCTCGGTTAGTCTTTAGTCTTATTCTCCTTTCATATGGTTCATTCTTCCTGGGTCAGTCAAGAAGCTTTCTTACTAGCTTGTGTCCTCTTGTAGCTTAAGACTGAGGAGGAGCCAGGCAAGAAAGCACTACTTGATTTGCACAGATATGTTGGGAGCACTGGGAAGGGTTTTCTCTCCCAGACTAAGGGGGGAGTTTGGAAGACTTAGAGGGAGAAAAGGATGATTTCTTGGAAGAGGTAATGCTTTTGCTGCATGGAGTAGAGGAGTTATATGATACTGAGGTCTTAGGGCATATCCAGAGCCATCACAAAGCAGGTGGTGCTTAGTCAAAAGTTGTCAATTGAATAACCAAACCCATGACTTCTTGTTCAACTTGATACCCATGTCAGCACAATTGCAGCACTATTAAATTATTAAATTCCATAATGATTTAGCTAGAAAGTCACTGGACTATGTGTATGAGACACTGACATGATGTGCAACAACTCAAACAAAACCTTCCTCTTCTATTCCAAATGATGGGGTGTTTATAGGAGTTCTTGGGGGAGGCTAAAAAAAAGATTCCTTTCCACCAGGCAGATATTACATTTGATCTAATTACGAAACAGCAGGGAAGTCTGTGAAGTCAATTATCTTCCCAACTTTTCCCCAGAAGCCCTGAAAAAGCTACCAGAGGACCTACACTAAGACATAAACCTAGAACTCTACTGAGACTCTCACACCAATCCAGGAGTCATTCTTCCCTCACCTTCTTACCTTCCCCCAGAAACTTTTGTTTATTATTACTGACCTGATGTAATCATGATGTCAGTGACAGTTTTCTCACTTTATGTGCTGGAGTGGTCTATCCTTGCATACAGCTTTAGAGAGTTTTATTTTCAGTATTACTAAGATGAAAGTGAAGTATATTTTTAAAACAAAGTATTTTTATAACTATGTTAATGTCAAACTTGGAAAATGACAGATGAAGACCTCTGTGTTATTTTTTTTTAAAGAGAGAGTGAGAGAGGAGAGAGAGAGAGAGAGAGAGAGAGAGAGAGAATTTTTAATATTTATTTTTTTTTTAATTCTCGGCAGACACAACATCTTTGTTGGTATGTGGTGCTGAGGATCGAACCCCGGTCGCACGCATGCCAGGCGAGCACGCTACCGCTTGAGCCACATCCCCAGCCCAAGACCTCTATGTTATAAAAAAATTAGCATGATAACATTCTTTAATTATTAGAGATTATTCCTACTTCTTTAGAATATAATATGCCTGTGATTAAAAAATTACAGGTCCACACAGGTCCTCCGCGTGCCCCAGTAGGACCACTGGCATTAGCACCTGTGCAGGACTCTTGGCCCCTCACTGGTGCAGGAATCCCAGCCATAGCCCACATGGGAATTTCTGGCTGCCATTCCCGTGTGGACTTCCATCTATCAACATGGAGCTCCTCCAGTCCCCTCCGTCTTGTGGCACTACAACCATGCCACAGTCCCCTACATGTGGTAGCCTGTACCTGGGGACACTTTACTTGGTCCCGTRACATCTGCCAGCCACAATACTGCATGTCACAGAGCTGCATCTCTGAATATGCTACTCAACACCACTGCCTGGCCCCACCAGACCTGACCTCCATCGCTGAAAGCAGCCACCTCCATTTTGGGATGCCTTCATCACCATCTTTAGTTGGGGCAACTCCCAGCTTAGAATACTGATTGGGGCTTAGAAACAATATCAAGGTACCCAAAATCCCCAACTGCACCCTCTCCCTGTTAGCTGCTAACCTGGCACAGTGTCAGTGGCTATGCAGCTGATCCTAGCTGGCAAAACGAAGTCCTGAACTGCCCAGTATAAAACAGCACTCTGCAACAGGTGTGCAGCCCCCAGAGCGCAGCCCACAAGACCTCTTAAGAGAAAGGTTTCTGATTGGGAAGTAGAAAGGGAGGGGGTGAGTGAGACACATTTTAGAGACTAAATTAGAGACCAGGAATTGTGAGATCTATAGGCAATATAAGAAGGTAAGGCCAGGTGCCCACATCACACGAATGGACCCCAAAGGAGATCCTTGGGATGCAGTCTCCCATAGGGGACCATCAAGTACTATACTCTACCTCCAGGCCTATGCCACCCAAAACAACCCTCCCACCTTAATAACTTTACCATCCTCATTCACCTATTGGGTGAGAAAGGAAGCTAGAAAGATACTGATCTCCAAAAGAAAACACAAAAACAAACAAAACAATCTTTGCATCTTTTTTTGAGATTTTTTTCCCCTTTCTCTCTCTCCTCCCACCCTCACATCCCCAACATTTGTGAAACGAAGTACTTGTTATGAATTAGGCTACTGAGGACTGAGATGGCTGAATGGTATATTACCGTGGTATTGTATATTCTTTTATCTCCTATTTTTACATTTTTTACTTTTCTTAATATTTATGTTTGTTTGTTTTTTGCACTCTACTGTCTTCCCACTTGTCTCCCCAAAATCACTTTCTCTCTCTTCTCCTGCTACTAACCAACTTCTTTAGATTTCTCTTTCACACTTTCAAGATCTAATAACTCTATATCCTCACCCCCTACCCTCTCAACATCTCATCTTACACCTCACCACCGGTTCTCTCATTGTCCACCATCAGAAACTGTAGACCCTTGTGCAAACCTACTGTTTATAATGTAGATAATAATTGAACTTCCCATTTCTGTATATTGTGACAAAACTATAAACATCTTAATAGCAACTATTTGGTTTAAGGCTGCATATTGTTTGTATTGGGATCTATTCACACTGTTCTCTCCCTTAAAGGAGAGGTTTTAGAAACCTGCAGGGATACTATATGCCTTAGGGTTAAAACTGTAATGCCTCAGATCCACAGTGCTAGAAGGGAAGACCCATGAACAACATGAAAATACAAAGGAAGAAAGTGCCCTTAACAAACCAAGATATTACATTATTAGAATCCATGGCTAGTACAACAGAAAAAATTACAGAGAAGAAGCTCAGGATGTACATAACTAAAATGGTCTGTGAATTAAAGGATGATATAAGAGAGTAAATGCAGGCAGCAAAAGATCAT